GGTTTGAGAAGATTCAGCTTGTGATAACTTGACGGGGCCTTTTTTTATTCGTCTCCAGGTCTGCTCTATCTGATCCACTCTTATCTGATATGATATGTGGTTTGTGGGTTTGCAAATGCTGCTGCAGATCAGGCAGGGATGTGGCACCTGTCACATACATGGGTTGTTCGTCTTCAGTGCTCTCTTATCTGTGTGCACTTCTGCATGAGAGACGGCGGCAACTTGTTTCCCTTGTTGCCACTTTGTTTTGCCCATTTGTTTTTGTCTTGTTGTTGTTGTTGTTGTTGTCGTTGCTGTTGCTGTTAGGCAAATACTTTGTTTGGTTTGGACTTTCACGGCATTCGCTTGGGGCCGCAGTTGTTGAGCTGATTGAATAAATGAATGAATGATGATTGACTGAATGCCTCTAATGCATGTGCATATGAATGATCTTTAGTGGCTCACTATTTGCCAAGCGATGTCAATGGCTGACTGACTGGCTGGCTGGCTAACTAGCCGGAGCTTTTGCAGAGCTTTCATTGGAACGGAAGCATCCGAAGATCTAACGTTTTGCCATCTAACTGGAATTTTGGTGGGAACAACTCTATTCATATTAGGCGGAAGCTTTTTGATCGTTGAACTTCCTCTCAGTGGGGGGGGGGGGTTATCTTGAACGGTTCAGTTGGTGGTTCAGTTCAAAGTTTAAAAGCTCGCACAATTTCTTTCACTTTTGCTTTCTTTTATTTTCTTTTCTTCTGTTTTCGTGCGCGGAAAGTGAAAATGTTCAGCCCAAAAATAAAGCGTTGATCGATTCTAAAAGCTCATTTGAATTTGAATGAATGAATGGTGGCGACTGTCGGACGACGCCGTCGCGATCAAAGACGAAGACGTCAACGAAGCAAACGATGTTAACTATTGCTGGCGATACCGTTATGCAGCGCTCAATGCTAGCGGTGTTCTGCTTTTGATAACAAAGCCCAAAAGTAAAAGTGTCGAGGCCCCAGCAACTTGACAAACTTTGGCTCCATTGGCAAGAGGAAGAATGAAAACTTCTCATTTTATTTGTACGACATATGGATGTGGATATATGCATATTGATATATGTACCTAATTTTACGTATCTATATAATACAAAATTTGATATTCTCATTTTTGATTAAGTTCATGTATATATTCATATATATATTTATATATTTATTTATATGTATGCTGAAATTGGAGTATTGGAGTATTGGAGTCGAGTATCTTGACTTTTCTTCAATTTTCTATCGTCTTATCTCTGACGATTTTATCAAGTTCAGGGCGCAGCTTTAACGATCATCTTTGGCCATTGGCAGTTGTAGTAAAAAAGAAATTGTATATATTTGTACATATTTGATTGCTTGAGTGAACGATGCACCCAAAGTCATTAAAATATTTCTTGTTTATCTCAAAGAGCTGCAATTTATCAAAACTACCATTAGCCCATCAAATTAAATCTACATTAAATTTTACATTGTCTACTAATGAATTTATATCATACGCAGATGGTGTGTTTATTAACTTATTATGTGATCCCTTCTGAAGATTTTGTGGACGGTTGGCTTGCATATCTCTCAGGCAAATACAAGTGAGATTTCACAGATTTTATAGATTATTATAGATTTTACATAGCTTAGCCAGTAGGTCATTAATGGTAACTTAAATTAAAATCAATCCGATGAGATTATGATATTGAAATTGGTTGTTTAGGAGTCGTTCCTCTGCATAATTCGTTTTCCAATATAAACATTCATATATATCATATAATCGTCGAATCAATTAGATCAATTACAACTTCGCTATGAATTTGACAAGACGCTGACTAAGATCAAATGTCTACACACATATGAGGAAACATTATATTATATATATATATATATATATATATTCTTGACCAGTCTGTTAACTCTCGGTCTTTTATTTGCTTTAAGCATTAAATATGTACATAGATAGTGCGCATCTTTGTATCTACAACATCAAATTGTTGCGGCTACTCATGATTTATTCATATAATTGCATAATATATACTCGTACACACTTGTTTACATGCACATATGCTTTATTTATTATATACAGAGATTCTTATTTATAATTGCTGTTTGAGTGAATTCCTCTGTGAATTCGATTAACCATTGCAGCCGCCAGATGGCGCTGCAATGGGATTGCAAACGGTAGATGGCGTACTGAAAGATAGTTTCAGTATTTGTAAACTAAAAAGATAATCGAAAATCCCCTTGTAACAGCAAAGCCAACGTTCGGGCTGAACAACACATGTGTGTGTGTATATTGTGCACATATTTTATGGGCAGTGATCAACAAGCGGCAAAACTTGCAGAACTTTTGCATGTGGCTCAACTCAGGCATGACGCTGATTCTTGAACAGTCTCAGTGCCGAGATGGTCAGTCAGTTAGTTAGTAAGTTAGTTAGTCAATTCAATGAGCACAGGGTGTGCTCAAGTGGGCAACTGAGTTGCTTTAGAGTTTGGAGCCGCTGCTATCGCTTGGTCTTGAGCCAAAGTCGAGCCATGGGCCCATGGGATGCGCCCACCATCCCAAAACCATCCCCCTTCCCGTCCGGAAGCGGGGCGTGAGTCATGCTCAAGCAGCGTAAAGAATTTTCATGATTTCTGGTTCAATGGCTCTCCACAACTCCACACAGCTCCACAGTTGCGCAGCCCAACACGTCGCTTGGTGAATGTCACAGATGAAACAAGCGCTTTGTATCTGCGAATGTATCTGTTTCTGTAAATGTATATGTATCTGTATCTGTATCTGTATCTGGGTCTGTGTCTCTGTCGCTTGCGTCTATTTCGTTGTATTTGACAGTCCTCGACCTTCGTTGAATGAAAACCATTTCATTTTCGTCGTTTGCGTTTTAAGTGGTTTTAATTGCATAATCGTTTGCTCATCTTGGGCTGCTTTGTAAGGGCGACCCTGCAAAATTCAAATTGAGATGAAAATGAAATTGAAAATGAAAATGTCAAAGATGACGTTCATTAGTCAGTTGGCCTGACTTTGGGGCAATCTGTTGACATTTTTGGCCTACTATTAAGGCCTCTCCAATGATGATTGGCAGGCCAAAAAACAAGTTTCAGTTAACAAACAGCAGCAACGGCGACTTAGAAAGGCGGCCACACCATAAATATAAACATCTGCCCCATGCATTTATAATGCAAATATCTATAACAAAATCTATTGTAGTAAATCTGTTTTGGCAGCGGCTCTACCGCATTTCATGTATTTCCATTATCTATATTTAAATTGCCACCAATCGAAGGCTGTTGCTCGGCGCAACCAGTCACAACAATCACAAACAGTCTTGTGCCATACGACACACAATAGGTATTAAGATATACTTATAAATCTAATATGAATCAATATCATCTCAGTTCATTCTCTGTACACATATATTTGTGTACATAGCAAAAGCAAAAACTATTTTGATTTTAAATTCATGCCTTTCGCAATAACTTTGTTGAATTGCCTTATCCAAATATTTTTATGTATGAAAAGTGTTACTCAAATCTGATTTCTATGAATAAACCCAAGCTTTACTTGCGTAAATATGAGATTTTTTGATAGACTGACATATCGAATGGGTCTTTTATTATTTTTTTAATCCAGTTTCATCGCCGTTACTTAATTGGACATCAAGACAAGAGAACGATCCTCAAACCCCTACTTGGTCTCTGACTGGTGTACTTATTGGAGATGCACTACAAAGAAAGTTTCTTCAATATGTATAACTATTTTTACCAATTACTAGTAAAAACCTATAATACGACGCATTGAAGTAACTCCTCGATGCATTTTCCCATGAAACTTATGAAACATTGTTATTAACTTAATTGTTTAACCCAATTTTGATTTGTATAATATTGCAAATTGTTCATAAAAAGTGAATAACCATCGATTGTTGTTGCATTGAGTTTTCTCTAAAATAATTAATTATTAGATGATGAACATATTTCTATATTCGCTCGATGTCAATTAGCTGAGAATAGAATTGCGAGCTCGCAATTTTGAATGGGGCATGCAACAACAATGTTAATCGGCCCCGGCGGCGTCCCCCAATGCTGAACTATTGCTGCTGTTGCTGCTGCTGCTGCTGTTGTTGTTATTATTGTTTCTTGTATTGTTGCTGCTGCTGCTGCTGTTGCTGTTGCTGTTGTTATTGTCGACGCGTGCGCAGCGAAGTGAAACATTTGAAATGAGCGCCGCGAGGGCTGCGCAGTCAGTTGGCAGCTGTGTAGTCGGCAGCGCAGTTGCGTCGATCTGGTGACAGGGCAGCATGGCGTGAAAAATAAATACATATCTATGTACATATGTAAATAACAATAAAAGCGCACAAAATGCGCAGTCGCTGTCTCTCAATGTTGAGCAAACATCAAAATCAACAAAAATACGCCAACAACAGCAGCAGCGCAGCAACAATAATAAAATGTTGTATTAGCTTAAAATACGCTTACATACACTTAATCATCGCAAAAGCGTCAACGGTGACAGCGACGGCAACAGAGACGGCGACGCCAGCATCGCAGTTTTGCATAGGGCGCGCACAGAAAATCGCCTTCAACCCCGTTAACAGCATTTTGCCAGCTTTGACTTTGGCTTTGGGAGTCGCAGTGGCAGTGGCAGTCGCAGCTCGGAGTCGCAGCTAGTTTTGAATTTTGACCAGCAGCATTTGCGACGACGACGTCACGGCGCACAGACGTCGGACGGGCAAAAACGGAAACTGAATAGCGACGGCGACGTCGACGGTGACGGTGACGGTGACAGTGACGGCGACAGTGACGGCAGCGATTATTAAAAAGTAATCAGGAAATTGCGACAACGACAACGACACAAGCACAAGAACAAAACGAATGTGAGAGCCCAAAAACACGCGAACAGGAACGAGAACGAGAACGGGAACGGGAACGTTAAACATTAAACAGAAAGAGACAGAGACAGAGGCAGAGAACGCGAACTCCAATTTCAATTCCAATTTCAATTTGAATTTCCAGCCAATCGAGTTGAGCTCGAGCTCGAATATGCCCAGCGTCGGGGCACTGTCCACGGGTCTGTCGGCGCGACCGGTCATCGTGTGGAACGGCGCACAGTATACGGCAAGCAGCAGGGAATTGGAATTGGAGCTGCTGCGACGCGATTACGGGCTGGATGAGCGTATGCTGGAGACGACGCTAGTGCCGCGCTACAAACGCCACAGGCCGCAGGCCAGCGCCAAAAACGCCCACGTTCGTCGCTCACCAACTGTCACATCCGCATCCGCATCCGCATCCTCTGATTGGATATTGCGGCAGGGCAACAGCAGCGTTGCCCAAATCAACTTTCATCCGTGGACGGAGCTGGGTGAACGCAAATTCTCGCACTTCGATCTGGTGCCCTGGCGGCGTACGCGCAGCGCCTTGGATCTTAGCTGTGCGGCAGATTATAGTGGACGGAGCTGCAGCAACAACGAGACGACGACAACGACAGCGACACAAATTGCACAGAAGTCACTGCGTGGACTCGAGAAGCTCGAGTTGCGCCACAATCGGCGGCGCCTGCAACGCGCCCGTTCCACGCAACAGGGTCTGCGTCGACTGGTGCGCGTCCGGCTGATCTTCTCGATTGAGCTGCGGCACAAGCGCATGGAGCTGCTGCGCCAGAGTGCGCTGCCCATGCGTGTTTTCGAGCAGCGCTTTGCGCTCACCGAAAACGAGAGCGCCGCCTACGAGCGCATCCTGCTGGACGCCAACGCTGGCGTTGAGCAGCACGTTGGCTACTTTAGCAGGCGGCAGACTGATCAACAGGCGGCTGACGACAAGCAGCTGGTTGTGGATTTTGCCAGCGAAACGGAAGTCGAAGCCGAGGAAGTCGACGAGGGTGAGGCGCAATACGCAACGATAGCAGCGGCGCCACAAGCGGCTCCATCTGCGGCAGCAACGCAAAGGCGAAAAGAAGAAGAGGAAGTGACTGTTACTGTGGGGAAGGTTGAAGTGCCATGTGTCAAGTGTCGCGATATTGCCATCAAGCTGAGGTAAACGTCAAGTGAATACCCAAAAAGTGGACAAAACCTTTTTGGTTTATTTTTATTCTTTTTTTTTTTTATTGTGTGTGCAGTGATGAACTAAAAACCGATTTAAAAGACGAAAACTGTACTGAAGTTTAGTTAAACTTCTGCGTATGCCCACTTAAAGTTTAAAAGACAAAATGAAAGCGACAGCACCAAACCCAAAAGTCATATTGTGATTGGGTTGGGATCAACGGCCGAGTCAGGCCAATTAGCAATTTCTCATATCTCGTTGTCAGCATGATGAAATTAGATTTGCTGATATACACATATGTGTAATATATGGCTTATTGGGACTATCTAAATGCTGAATATAACCAATTTGGTCCATGGGTATCTTTTTTCTCCTCCTACTTGATTTGGATAACTCCTTCTGATCCTATTATAAATAAATATTCCTTAAAATCAAATTGACATGTTTGAGTACATTTCACATTTGACATATTTTCTGAATATTTATATTCATTTATCACGAATATAAATAAAATATGGTTACAGGGTATCGCCTTTGTCGAGCACTCTTCACTGCCACAACAAAACATAAAATTGTGTTTTGCACAAAACTTTTCATAGTCATTTGGGTTTTTGTGCATTTTTCACATTTTCCACATTTTCGTACATTTGACTGACCAAGTGGCCCGCATACCGCGTGGCCAAATTTCATTCTCAACTAGCTTTGTGTGTGTGTGTGTGTATATGTGTGTGTGTGTGTGTGTGTATATGTGTGTGTGTGTGTGTGTGTGTGTGCCTGTCCGCCCTCGTTTGTCACCTGCTATGAGCACCTCGTGTCGACAAACTAATTCAAGATTGTTGACGCAATAAATTTAAAGAAAGTGGCTGGTGGCATTAGTTAAGTTTTCTTTCTTCGTTTAACAGAGGCACAGATAGACAGACAGACAGACAGGCAGACAGACAGACAGGCAGACAAACAACGACAACGACAACAAACAGGTGAACCGACCACTTATTCGTCTCTGCGACCCCGTCAAACACTCCAGCAGTCAATTAATTTGTAAAGAGTCAAGTTTACGACTCTTGCTCGAGTTTTGTTGCCCTCTGTGCGAAGCGGCGCCCAATTCCGCTTGGGTTTGCCCTGGGGCAGGTGCTGTTGAAATGAGTCAGCATTTGGCCGTCGCTTTAGTTGTGACCCCGTTAGTTTGTTAATTCACAAAAGGCGAAAATTTGCTTAGCCAAATTCAATGTTTTCACAACTTACAGCTTGAAAGCATCGGTTGCTGTTTGTTTACTGCGCTTAGCGGGCTTTGTGAACAAGCCGACAAGCCGACGAGCCGACAAGCTGCTGCTGCAACAAGCTTGCAAGTTTGTGCCTTGAGTCTTTTGTTCGCAGCTGCAAAGGCTGCTTCATAATTTTTATCTGATCATTACGTTTACTACCCGTTTCGAAAGTATGCTTCAGTTTTTTCCCTCGCTGTATATATATATCTAGCTTAACTCTATATATATATATATATATATTGGTAATATATACATATTGCTTATTGATTGCTGGCGATTTGCAATCAGCGTGATTTCGGAAAACTCGATCTTTTAACATGACGAATGTGGAAAATTACTTTATTACTTATTTTTTCATTCGATCGTTAAATATCTTTATGGAAATTCAACTTCAGCTGCTTTATTACTTATTTTTTCATTCGATCGTTAAAGATCTTTATGGAAATTCAACTACAGCTGCTTACCAAGTTTTATCAGGAAGCACACTTAAATAGTGCTCTAGTCTGTGTTTGGCGAAAGTTAAATTGTACATTGATTATTAGAGCGACTTTATCTATCTATCTATAATCAGCTTACTACTATATCATATAGCAATACAATCAAAAAGTGAGCAAGGGTGTGTAATAGCGGTTCTTTCTAGCTACATATATGCCTGATCCTTACTGATCCAGAGGTAGGCTCATCTGAATTTATGTAGCTAATGATGTTGATAATTGTTTATTTTTAGTGGCTTACTAAATGGATATCCTTCTGAAAGTAGTTGTTGTTAAAATTGTTGTTATTCGTATAGCAAGAAGGTTAATAGATGATCATGCTCACATAAGTTTGGCTGATTTTTCAGTGACTGTTACTTGGCATCATGGAACACATTTGTAGTGTTCGAAGCTTAAGCATCAACTTAGGCAAAACTTAGCTTAGCAATGCGACTTATACAGACACTTATGATATTACTGGCAGTTGTCATCGATGGCGACCTGCTAGTTCAACTATTAACTAAACGAATAGAAGACAAATAAAAGATTAACTCCATTTAATTTGCGCTCTCTTGCAGAACCATCAATGATTATGCGCTCAACTCGAATGTAAACTTAAAGCACAATAACAAAAACAACAACAACAACAGCAACAGCAACAACAACAGCAACAGCAACAACAACAACAGTCACATCAATATCATCAACTACAACAACAATAAACTGAACAAACTGCACAGCATCAACGTTAGTCAGAACAACAACCATAATAACAATAAGCACAACAAGCGAAACCAGAGCAACCACAATCTGAATAGAATGCATGCCCATCAGCTGGACTCGTATCTGGCTGGGATGCCCATGGGTATGAGCATGTCGGGCCCAATGCATCCGGGGAACATTTCTGGCAACGAAAGACCCAATGGAGGCGCATTGGCATTACATTATGCAGCGGCCAGGGGCTGCCTGGACTGTGTCCAGTTGCTGGTTGCCGCATCTGTAGATATTTGGTAAGTATCTGAATCTGAATCTAAATCTGCATCTGCTGTTAACTGGGCCGATGATTTAAAAGCAAAAGTCGCACAGCTCTCGATTCGAGTCGAAGTGGGGTGAAAGCTTTGTTCTTTATTGCTTTATCAACATCATCATTGGGGTGAACGGGTTGGTTGTGTTAGCGAAGGATGGGGAGGATTGGCAAGTGGTGGAAAGGGGGAGGGGGAGGGGTGTTTGGTAATTTAAAATGTCGGCCATGCGGTGGAGCGGTGCTTATTTAAATGATTGCGACAAGTAGTGCCGACTAAAAAACGGAATCGGATCACATTGGCGACTTGGCGACTCTCCACTTAACTGGCTGCTGTCGACTTTTGCCGTAAATTGCGGCCTGCTAATGCAATTTTATGGCATTCACTTGCCCCATTTGATTAGCGTATTGCCAACTGTTGACATTTCTCTGTTTGCCGTTACATGCATGCATTTGCGCTATAGCGAATGCCACTTTGTTCGCACCAGAAGCTTTCCAAACTGAATTGGTTAAATAATAAAATTAGTCTGCAAATCGATCAATTGCCAAGTCACGAAGTCAAAAAATCAAAGTCAATGAGCCAACTTTAAATACAAATTAAGATATTGATATTAGTATTTTGCGTATTATTGAGATGCTTCAAACAGTCAGTGATTATTCTCTATGGAACATCGTACAGGGTGTAACAACAACAACAACAACAACAACAACAACAACAACAGCGACTATAAAACCAATCATTCGTAAACTTTTGTTTACGCTTATGATTCGCAAGTGGCTTAAGCGCTGTGGATTTGGTCGTTAATCGTGGAAGCTGTTTGCTGTTTGCTGTTTGCGACGGCCATTAGAATTATCCGTGCATTGATCGCATGATTTATTAAATTTGTGACAGCCAGCCACATTTCTCCGATTCGTGGGCTGGGTCTAATCATGTACAGCTGAAGTGAGATCAGCACCTCAAACCAATGTGTTTATTTGTGCATTAACAAGTCATCGAAGGCGTTTAATGAGCCTCGTCGTCTTGACAGACAATCAAAGCATTGAGCGTTGCAATTAAATGCGGTAATTAAGACTGATGAGTTCTCAAATGGAGTTGCAAACGATGGGAGGACGAGACGCCATCGGACGCAAGTGGAAGTGGAACACATGGAGCAATTGCGGTGCTGGCTGCATGAACACCGATCAAGATCGCTTTCCAGCTGCCCACTTGCTGTTCAACTTTGGTCAGTGCTCACCTAAATACCGCAGAGGAGCACGCGATATAAACGTTGATTCATTAAACTCCAGCCATTTCAGTCTTCATGGTGTCCAAGGCGACCCGGCCAGCTAGTAGCTGGCTGGCTAACCAGATTGTTTCTTTTGCCATCGAACTAGATGCCAGGAAGAGTTTGGCGCTAACAGAGAGAGAAAGAGCCAGAAAGAGAGAGAGAGAGAGAGAGAGTGAGAGAGAGAGAGAGAGAGAGACAGAGAGAGAGATTGAGATAGTGTGAGAGACAGAATAAGAAAAAGAGAGAGAGAGAGAGAGAGAGTGAGAGAGGGGGGAGCGGTGCAAAGCACCGTTGCAACTAGTTGGCAATTGTAAGTGGAGCAGCAACTGCACAAGGAATCCAACTGCTTGGCCTCATCTCTGGTCTGGTCGGGTCTGGTCTGGTCTGGTCTGGTCTGGCTTGGCCTGATCTTCTAGGCTCAGCTGCGCTCGGGTCAGCTCTGGTCGTCTGACTAACAGCCGGCAACTGTTTGGATTCTCTTCTTAAAAGCATACATATTTTTATAAAGAACACCAGTTTAATTGGCATGACAACTGACACAGCGGCACACATGCTATGTGGCTGCCAACAACAATAATAATAACTAGCACCATCACTTCGATTGCGAAAGCTGGTGCATGAGTTACCGATCAAGAACCAAGTATCTTTTTTTTTTAAATTAACAATAATATATAGAAAGGAAGAAGCATATGTGCAATTTAAATGATATTCGGTTATTTTGTTTGGTCTCTGACAACGAACAAATCAATCCTTAAATGTATCTCTTCACGAATTTATTTAGGTCCTTAACATTATTAAAGTGGCCTTTTTAATATTATTCGCAACTCTTTCACCCATTTAAAGTGTATAATTATTTGAAATATCGTATTATTAATACTTGTGGTACAATCGATCACATTTGTGACTTATTTAGAATATACTCGGAATACTATTAAGAGTTGATATTTGTCACTATATGTGTGAGCAAAACACCCACTAAAAATTCAGATTTTTCTCAAATAACCCACGCTGAGAGCAATCGCATAAGAAACCATTGGATAATAATCGTATACAAAACATTTGTTCATCGCTTTTGACTATGGCTATGGTTATGACTTTGGCCAAGAAAACGCTTGTGGCAGAGCTGGTTTCAAAGCTTCTTGGGGCACCGTTTGCCGTTTTTCGTTGCTGCTGCTCTTGCTGCTCTGGCTGCTCTTGCTACCTCGTAGCAAGTATTGGCGCTGCTGCTGCTGCTGCTGCTGCTGTTGCTGCTGTTGCTGCTGCTGCTGTCATTTCTGGCTGTTGTTTTGCTGGCCGCTGGCCGCGATGTCTTCTATTCGTGTTTGGTTACTCGAAGCGAACGGTGCTTTCGTCTGGCATCAGCTGCCGTGTCGTCCGTCGCCGCCTGCGTTTTCCATTGGCATCGCTGTTACCGTTTGCCCAAGCGCTGACCGATCGTACAACCGTTACCAGCAGCAACAACACCAACCAACAACCAGAGATGCGGCCATAGACGAATTTAAATTTGTTTGTTGTTGTTTAGTGGCTTGAGTAAAGTTAATTTACTGCTTATGCTCAATGCAGCGATTGCCGTGGACGTAGCGCTGCCGTGCGGCCACGCCTTTCGTGCCACCCGCCCACTCGATGCCGTTGAAAGTTTGCGCCGCGCCGCGTTGGTCCACAAACAACAACAACAACAGCCACAACAACCACAACAACCACAACAACCACAACAACAACAAGAACAACAACGACAGCAACAAAAAACAAAATTTCGCGCTTCAAAGTGTTTCGACTGCAGTTAACGAATCGGAACGCGAATTAATTAACAGTTTCAGTGTACCAAAGAACTGCAAGCCACAACTACAGCAACTACAGCAACCATATCAACAACAACCACATCAACAGCAACAACAACAACGTTCAACAAACAGTAGCAACAAGCTGTGCGCTCATAAGCCGCAACCATGAAAAGGTAGCCCCAGCGTCAGTTTCAATAATCAATTGGCCAAGCGATGAGCATCTGCCCACCAAAAAGACGAAGAGCCAAAGACTTACTTGGATCCACACAGCAATTGTTGCATTGTTTTCCCTTTATATTCATTTGAACTTTTTTTTATGGTGATCTCAACAACAAGTGTGTGCGGGTGTGTGTCTGTGCCTGTGCCTGTGTGTGTGTGTGTCGAAAATTATGGGTAGCTTCTACACACAAACACAGAAAAAATAAAATTTAAAAAAAAAACTATCAAAATGAAAATGTGAAAAATCTTTGTCTGTTGGCAAAATTGGCGGCGTGTTTTTTTTTTTTAGCATGGAATCAAACTAAAAACAAAACGCGCACGAGACGTCGAAAAAAACCTAAAAAGAAACTTTGAATAAGAAAACTCAATTAGTTTACTAGTCCCTAAATGAATAACCGTAAAATCGAGCAAATAACAAAAAAAATAAATAAATAGTAATCGATGATACTCCCTTACTTAACTGGCTAATGAAAATCGATCAATCAGAACCTGGAATCACTCTAAAATAGTTGATACTGATATCTTTTCGAATTGTTAACAGCAAACAATAGGCAGAGAACAAAGCGTATATAGATACATATTATATGGTTAGCAAAAATGTGTATTAAGCCTTTGATGAGAGTCGTATTTTCAAAGAACAGAAGTACATTAATAAACAGGTGGCTGGCTAAATAAGTTAATAGAATATAAATAAAAAAGATGGATAAACACATTGTTAACTCAAAGTTTAGGCAAATTTGTTATGTATTTCTTAGACAAAGAAAGTTAGTCAAATTGAAGCATTTGCTGAGTTCAAAAACAGTCTCGTTTAGGCGACTAATCGGTATTTGGAATGCGTCTTTCGACGACGTCAATATACGAGTATATGTTCTGTTCACATTGGCATTGTTGTTTGCTGCCGTATTTGTGTCGAGCATCACTTTCATTCTGCCTACTGCTGCGCCGACTTTGACAGAGGCACGCAAATGCTCAATTAAAAGCGCCTAAGACCTCCACAGATCCGATCCATGGCATTCTCGCATTGGCGTCTGTCAAGCATGTTTGTTTCTTTGCAACAATTATCGCTCTTTCTAGACTTGTGTTGAAATTTATTGCCGTTTGTGCTTTGTACGAACTGCGATTAAAAAAATATTAAAGAAAAAAAAAAAGAAAAAATAGGAAAAATTAAATAAATACAAATGAAAGAAAAATATAATTATTTAATTGCAACTGCAAAACGAGCACAACAAAATTGGGATTACTTGAGTTGTACTCGTTATTTACTGTATTTTCACCTACATTACCAAAGCAGAAGAGGTGGCAGCAGCAGCAGCAGCAGCAGCAGCCACTGTAGCTGGAGAAGCTGTCGAGGCGCATTAATAAACACGCGATTGGCAATCGGACAGCAGAGCAGACGCGGGGTAGGCGGGGGAGTGGAGGGAGGTGTGAAAACTGTCGGGTGTGCTAAAAACATTATATACATATACGATAGCGCCAAGAAATAAGAGAAAAATAACGTGTTACCAATTCGAACGTAACCGACTGCGTAATACTCTGATATCTGATATCAGTGTAATAACCTCTGACAAAAGTTGAAAAGTGACCTTTTCGGGTTAGGTTGGTAAATAAGGATTGGCAGCAATCTGCTCTTCAAATTAGATGATTCCAGATTAAAAAAAAAGATGATTACCTGAGAGCCTGTCACTCAATTTGCGACGTGTAACGATAGATTATCGATTTCCCCCTGATCGCGGAATCTCGATCTAAACATTTTATTTCACGCAGACAAGTTTGAAGTCAGACAGACAAACATTGCACAAAACCAATATGCTCGTCCACCTTTAAAATATCAGAGAATAAAAATCAACTTTAATTGGTTTACAATTCATTGCTGTAGCGAAAAGCTGGAAAATGTAACAAGTCGCCAAGTCGCTAGCGAAGAAAGCAACTGAAGCGCCTGCTCCAATCTTGAGAGTCGCGCATGGACTCGAAACATCAGTTTAAGCTGAAGCTGAAGCTGTGGCTGAAGCTGAGGCTGAAGCTGAGGCTGGAGTCGAGCGTCTGGTGTGCAATATCCATGAAGTGGTCCGCTGTTGAGCAGATCAGTCGGTTGCCTACGCCAGCGTCGGCAACATGAATTAGGGAAAGCACAGTGGGGCTAGACACAGCTAAATTGCTTGCCAAATTAATTTGCACAGTTGTAGCTATTTCATGTGTGTATCATACTAAATTTACTAGAACTTTGGGCCTTCCTTAAATAGTTTCCAATCATTTATTTTTGGAAACTATTTTTTGCAATAGACCTTTTGTACAATTTGTTGCTTAACTCTCGTCCCACTGTGCCATAACTAAAAACATGGCCAAATGGTAACAAATGCGCATCACAGCCAGCGGCTGCTTATTGCAGAGCTGAGACGAGGCCTCTGCTCCGTCCGGGCGTAACATGCAGAGAAACGTCTCTGTCTGCGTTTTTGACGTGTGATCTGGTCTGCATTGCAGTTGTTATTTTTTTCTTATGTTTTTCTGCTTGTACGTTTTTCTTCTTTTCTGTTTTTTTTTTCTGTCTCTGTATTTTGCGCATTTTAACGCTAATTTCACCCCGAAAACAAAAAACTGGTGTAAGAAGCAGGGGAAGAAGCGAAACAATAGAAAACAAAATGCGCTAGAAGTTTGCTGGGGCAAGCAGGCGATGGCTCAATCGCAAGGCAGCCACATTAAGAGTCAGTTGCAGCTGCTGTGGCTCGGCTCAAAGCGCAACCGAATTCTGTCAACTCTTTGACTTTTCGATTCTCCGGCCTGTTGACTCTCAGTCACTCAGTCACTCAGTCACTCAGTCTCTCAGTTAGGGTGGCTGGCGGCGGGTGACACACTTAACTGAAAAGACTTTGGCTTAGCCAGTGCCCAAGCTCGATATGCAGTTTAACGGAAGCGAGAACGGATAACAGTGATAAGTCCAAAATTTGAAGATGCAACGAAAAACAATGAATACATTCACATCGATATGAATATGCAAGTGATTTATCTTTTAACTGTTTTTATACATTTTTGTTTGTTTATTGTGTGTGTGTGTGTCTGTGTGTGTGACTCTCTCTCTCTCTCTCTTTCTTTCTCTCTGTGTGTGTGTGTGTGTGTGTGTATGTGTGTGCAACGGTATTGGGGAAAACTCAAAACAACAGCGATACGAAAACCAGTTGATTCTACTGTATTATCACATACGCGACGAGAAATCGAAAGTCCAATACTACTACTACTACTACTACTATTCCACATATATAGGTGGTGAATACATATGTATACTTGAACTGAACTGAACTGAACTGAACTGCGCGTAGGTAAGCAAAGGCATCCAAGAGAGCATTTCCAATAGCACAACAACAATAATAACAACAACTGCACAACAACTCCCGCCCGCTATCGTAGTGCATATCAATTGCCCATTGCTACTCCCTCATTTTGTCTACTCGTGCAACGTCTCGTAGCGCAACGTCTATTCCATGCACTAAACACGCCGCACTCAAGCCACTTGGCCACCCTACACACACACACACACACACACACACACACACCCATACCCGAAAATAAAAAAAAAAAAAAACTGGCACACTTTCTGCTGCAATCCCTGCAAAAACAAATCACGAAATCCAACTCTGTAGCTATTTTTCAACTATCAACGTTAAGAAGGGCCTGCTGGGCCGCATGACCACAAGTCTGACCTCGTACCGTCGCAGCAAGCAGAAGAGCAAATCCAACAATGACATACACACCATCATCTCAACGGAGGTGAACTGCGTAACTACTGCCATACTCAGCAGCAGCAACAGCAACAGCAACAATACAAATAACAATAAAAAAAGGAGCGATAGCAGCAGCAGCGTCAGCAGCAGTCATAGCAACGGCCCCGATCCGGATACGGAGCACGTGGCAGACACAGCAGCCGCACTCAGTCCAAATCACAATCGAAATCATCAGCACAACAATAGTAGCAATCAGGAGGATATCAATCCCAGCGAACATCTAAGCGATCTCTCTATCGAACGTATGATGGAGGCGCATCAGAGAAAAGTCTCCAGTGCTATGGGCGCCAACGGTGACTCAATTGGGGATGAGAGTGCGCCCATGTTGGCCACTGGGGCTGGTCAGGGTCGCAAGGAGCAAAACAATCGACGCAGCGTCGTGAGGTGAGACAGCAGCAATGCTGGCAGCCCAACAAAAATACGACTGTTTTCTTCCTCTTCTTCTTGTTCTTCTTCTTCTTCTTCACCGGATAAGATGTGTACATATTCTAACATATACAATCATCTATCATAAACTTAACAACTCGGGAATTTCATTGGCAATTTGATAAAAATCAGGGCTTATTAAAACTTGAAGAGAAAGTCTAAATATAAATATTTCTTTCCGATTGGAATTAATTTATCAATAGCTTAAATTTAAAATTTAAATAGCAGAAACGCAAATTTTTTTTAGCATCAAGATATAAATGTCGCAGAAGGATATTCGTCAAAAATAGTTGAGACTTACCTTATTCCAAAAACTTTAAAGTTGTTGAAATTTCTTTTGGAAAAAATGAATGGCTGTCGGAAAGATCATTCTTATTTCAACAGAAAAAAAAATACTTTTTGAGATAAAATCTGTTTATTTTCCACAAAATAAGATTCCGAAAATTCTATTGCCTTTGAGTTCTGTAAGTTTAAATTTGATCTCTGAAAGCGTTTACCAAAATAAGTGACTCAGTACAAAAGCTGTAGAAGAAGAAGACTTGCAGTCTCTTTTGGGGATGTTACCTAGAATCTACTTACCAAATAGGATGGTAAATTGGGAGATATATGGATTATATCGACACGTTATCGATTTTCCAGTTCAGTAACAATTTGCCTGACGCCGATACAATCGAACATATATTTAAAGCTTCAAAGACGGGCATTGCACAAAATCAATATACTCTTTTTACTTCGGTATCAGAGTATATAAATAAAATACAAAACTTAGCTGACAACCATTGAAAGTTGGCAGCCTAACGCAATCTGTCAACTTGTGGCTCAGTTTTGCGTTTTCTTTTCTTGTTGGCATTGATGATACTTTAATTTGGTATCCATCTCTATGTACATCTATCTATATATTTATATGGTGATCATTAGTAGCTATTTGTTTTTTTTTTTTTTTTTTTTTTTTGCGTTCACCAGCAACTTGGGAAATGCCAAAGAGGCAAGGGGTACGGGCCACAGGCGCACGGGGCCGGCTGTGTTGACTTTTTGCTCATTAGTGACTTGCAAGCGATTTGGTTAGCCTTGTGGCACACACAAAACCTTAAGTTGCAACCGAATGTTACTAATAAAATCGGCTCCTTACATACATGCTTTATATGTGTGTACTTGTATATATTTATATAATAATATATATATATTCTTGCAGCGCCAATACGCAAATGGACAATGATGTCACGCCCGTTTATCTGGCCGCCCAGGAGGGGCATTTGGAGGTGCTCAAGTTTCTGGTGCTTGAAGCCGGCGGTTCTCTCTATGTACGCGCACGCGACGGCATGGCACCGATCCATGCCGCTTCACAAATGGGCTGCTTGGATTGCCTCAAATGGATGGTGAGTACACTCATAGTCATACCCACACACACACACACACACACACACACACCGCACTCGTTTACGCTTGCCAAACTGCAGTAAACATTTGCAATTGCCAAATACCAAATACCAAAATCCAAACCAAAAGTGTCAAAAAATTAGGTCGCCAACAACAGCAACACTGAACTCGTTTCAACCGCAAGGAGCTTAGGAGTCTTCTGATCGCTGTTCGCTGTTCTTGTCCTGATTTCATCGCGTTTCTAACAGTTCCAGCTCTTTGCGACTGCGAGTTTGTCGCATGTCCAATTCAATTTATCAAGCGTTTCAGCACTTGCCACAAGTCCAAAGTCAAGTCCAATGTTCTCTTTCTATTTATATATCCACTGGCATTCAATACTCGCAATGATGCTGTGCTCCTCGGGAGTCGTCTGTCTTTTTCTGTCTCTTTAGCGATCTTGCGTGAGCAGCACAGCATAAGCTAGTCGTCTTGGCAGGCCGACTTTGGGTGCCTGTTATAAATCACCTTTCTAAAGTGAACTAAATAGTTATGCATTGCCAGTGCAGCACACACACACACACACACACATATATATATATGTGGAAAGTGGTTTGCTTGGTGACTTTGCCTGGGAAGTCTTCACATCCATCTAGCCATGCAACCAAACTAGTGACTAGTCACAATGCTAACAGATCCCAATAGATCCTCGTAGATCTCGATAAACTGAATTTTCATTTTAGTTTATTTAACATTTATCTATTGCTAACATAGAGCTTAACCTATAGCGTAGCTATGACTTACAGCTTGTAATACACGCCATCGCTGACAGGGTGATAAACTCGCAATGAATAAAGCTATTGCTTGGAAAGAAAGCGATTTTTTTTAACAGGTTTATCAATGTATTAATTAATGTGCTTGGATTCAAATTGTAGAGCAAAGATTCACATTCATTATCATTATCATTATATAATTGCCGACGTAATAATCGATCCTGTTTGTATTGTGATTACAGGTGCAGGATCAGGGCGTTGATCCCAATTTACGTGATGGCGATGGTGCCACGCCACTGCATTTTGCCGCCTCTCGTGGCCATCTGTCTGTGGTGCGCTGGCTGCTCAACCATGGTGCTAAACTGTCTCTGGACAAATATGGCAAATCGCCAATTAACGATGCGGCCGAAAATCAACAGGTTGAGGTGAGTAGCTGACCAACTTGCCAAATGGACAATTTTATTGTGTTGTTGTCTGACCGTTGAAAACTCTACCATTGCGCCTTATTTGTCAACAGTGTCTCAATGTATTGGTGCAGCACGGCACCACCGTGGATTACAACAATAAGAACAATTCACAGCGTCACAAGTCGCAGCACCAACATCAGCAGCAGCATCAGCAGCAGCAGCAACATCAACATCAACAGCAACAACAGCAGCAGCAACAACAACAACATTTGAGCAGCAGCTGCAACTCGAATACGAATTCCAGCAAGCAGACGAGCCGCAGCAACACCATCAAATCGAAATCCTCATCCACGCTCAGCTCCGATGTGGAGCCATTTTATTTGCATCCGCCCGCTGTGACTGCAGCCGCTGCTGCTGCTGGCGTTGGCATTGGCGGCATTGGCGTTGGCATCACGCGCAAAAACAGCGACGCTTTGTACTCGCAGCAGTCGCGCAGCTCATCGGAGAAGCTTTATGGGTGCAACGGGGCATCGGGCGGCAGCGTGGCGGGCGGCACAAGCACGGGCGGCGGCGCACTGCTGCCAAACGATGGGCTGTATGTGAACCCAATGCGCAATGGTGGAATGTATGCGACACCGTCGCCGAATGGCAGCATATCGGGCGAGTCGTTCTTTCTGCACGATCCGCAAGAGATCATCTATAATCGGGTGCGCGATTTGTTCGTCGACTCGGACTGCAGCAGCGTGAAGCAGCACCAGATGCCGCACCCATTGCACTCGATGCAGTCAAAGGTTAACAGCAATGCGATTATGACCATTCAGGCCGATGTCCATTCCAGTTCCAGTGGCGCCGGCAGCGGATCCGATGAGTCCGTCTCCATCTCGTCCAGCTTCAACTCGCCAAAGAGCAGCAGTCATCACCACAGCAACAGTCACAGTCACAAACATCATCAGCATTCGCATTCGCATCAGATGCGCAGTCAGAGCTTCAATCGGCATGGCAGCAGCAGCAACGTAAGCAGCGGCGGCATTGCCAAAAATAATGCGAACAACAACAACAACAGCAACGGCAACAACAATAACAACAATAACAACAGCAACAACAACAACAACAACAATAACAGCAGCAGTAGCAGCAGCAGCAACAACAATAATAACAATAGCAGTAACAATATCAGCTATAAGCAACAAAAGAGCATCAGCAGCAACATAAGCAACAGCAATGCCAATCAGAATGGCGATCATGACTACGAGGATATTTATTTGGTGCGCGAAGAGTCCCGCAAGCAAAATCAGCAACATCATCAACAGCAGCAGCATCATCAGCTGCAGCAACAGCAGCAAATGCAGCAACAGCAACAAATGCAGCAACAGCAACAAATGCAGCAGCAGCAACAGCAGCAGCAGCAGCAACAACAGCAACAGTTGCAACACAAATACAATGTGGGCAGATCGCGCTCCCGCGACAGTGGCTCCCACTCACGCTCCGCCAGCGCCAGCTCCACGCGCAGCACAGATGTGGTCTTGCAGTACAGCAATCATGTAAGTAGCAGCGAATCAATAGACTTCTTCAACAAGTACAACAAAAGCACAATTATTATTTGAAATGTGTTCAACTATATTTTTGAAATGTAGTACTTTCTATGGTTTTCGATAGTTTATATATAGTCTGGTACCGAATATAGACGAGGAAACGGCACAATGTCCGTCGACTCGTCTGTATTTTCAAGCTAGAGTCACCAAATTTCATAGAATTGAAAATCAATTTCCTGGCACGCCGCCACACCCCAGCTTAATACGAGTACATTGAATATACAGATTTATTTATTATTTTTGTGGGCAGTTCTAATTTTGAAACGTGTAATCTTCTCTCTTTACTGCTGTCCCAGCATTTGAACAACAAGCGCAATAACTACAACAACAGCAGTGGCAGCGGCAGCAATGGCAATGGCAATGGCAGCAACAACAACAACAGCAACAACAACAACATGAGCATGTTGAATCGCAACAAATCGCATTCGATGATTGGTCTACACAGCAGCAAGTACGATTCAAGCACAAAGGACAACTATAGCGGCAAGAATGTGAATCTTAACCAGAATCTGAAGAATCAGCTGCTCAATGGTGGCATCAAAAGCGATACATACGAGAGCGTCTGCCCGCCCGAGGATGTCGCTGAACGCACCAAGCAGACCCACAAGAACTCCATGATACGCAACAATTTGGCGGATGCGAGCATGCTTAGCAGTAGCCCTAACATATCCATGCACAATAACAATAACAATCACAATAACAACAACAACAGCAACAACAACAGCAACATTAGCATCGGCATTGGCATTGGCACCAGCAGCAATAGCAACAGCACAAGCAACATTAATCAAATCAACAATAACACCAACACCAGCAACAACATGAGCAATAGAAATCTGAAGCGTGTCTCATCGGCGCCACCAATGCAAAATTTAGCCGTGGGTAAGTCCTAGCGAAATAATCAATCAATCTATATACATTGTTTTCTATATTAAATCAAACATCTGCCACATATTTTTGCAAGACTACTTCATTTATCAGCATTACAAAATTCTTGGTTCGTTCTGTCTCTCGTAGTTAATGGGCCTCCGCCGCCGCCTTTGCCACCGCCGTTGCGTGCTGCGGTGCAACGCAACAACTTAAATCCCGAACACTCCAGTAACAACGGCAATAACATATACATGAAGAATCACTTTGGTGCGACACCAGCAACACCAGCGACAGCAACAACTGTTGGCTCAGCTGGCGGACACGAGACGGTGGACTCGGATTCGGGCCTGGAGGTGGTCGAGGAGCCTAGCTTGCGACCTTCGGAACTGGTGCGGGGCAATCACAATCGCACCATGTCCACTATATCAGGTATGTGGCACAAATGAAGCTTCGAAAACTCCTTAATACAACATCATTAAATATTTCCAATGGAATGGGTTGAATCGTTAACATAAAGAGTAAAGTTACAAACGAATCTAAATCGTATGGGCGCAAATTATTATTCAAATTAAATTCATATCTCTCAACTGGCTAAGTTGGCTTTGGCCAATATTTTTAAGTACAGGTTTCGGTCACACATCATTTTGATTAAAAAAAATATAAAATAATTAACAAGATATTATTACGAGGACGACGGCATATAAGATTTGCCCGCTATGAGTGATAATAGTTTCCGCCAACGCTGGGCAGACCTGATGCTCTGCACCGATTCAGATGATTTTATGGAAGTTCAGATGGAGCCAGTTTCGACAGAAGCATGGACGCTGATAATGATGCCACCCAGCATCAATTTTGATGGTTCGATAGAAGATCAGATGTCGCCCGAGGTGGATAAACTATCCAGCACGATGCCAGAAAATCTTAACGCAGGCAATTCGATGACCACTGAAAATTTCAATCACATTAGTAAAAGCATTGAGGAGAATTGAGAGAATCTTAACTCTGGCAATTCGATGGTAACTCAACATTTGAGGCAACGCTGGGCAGACATGTTACTGTGCCGTAGTTTAGACGATTCGGTGACAGTTCACATTAGTAACATCATTGAGAATCTGCACGAAGCAATCTCAGAGAATAAGTCTGGCAATTCAATGATCACCAAACAATCCAGTCAGCCCTTTGATGACGATTCGATAAAAGTTAAGATTTCGCCAGTGTTGGCTAAGGCGAATACGCAGGAAATTTATAACGTTGAGAATCTGTCGGACACGCTGCCAGAGAATTTTAACGTGAAAAACAAATATATCATCTACAGCGCTGGTAATTCGACGCTCCTCATGGACTCACTGAACCCACAGACACTCAGCTGGAACTGCTCGATCGCCACTTGATGGCTCTGGCCTAATCCCGCCGTGATAACTTTTGGCATGGGCAAAATCAATACAAGTTTGGATGTGGAAAGCACCAGTTCGATGGCAGCTACCTTTTCGCGCAAGAATGCGCAATGAGCTCTTTGCTAGCAGTTCCCCTAACATAGTTGCATTGTTCCATGGTTACATTAGTTCTATAGTTTATATATCGTCAGATCAGTAAAACAGAGCGTTGCCATAACGCACGCCATCTTATTCAACTGCTGAACTCTTGTGTGATTGAAAGCTGACGGGGTCTTTGACTCAGGCCAGAGTTGGGAGGGAGGCAGAGATGGGTGGGGAGATCAAGTTGCCGGCCACATCGAATGACCAATTAACGGCACAAAACAACTGGAATTGCCCAATAACCAGACGCTGGCTAAGCTGGCTAAGCGCCAACCAACTTCGCAACTTTGGTCAACATTTTGTTTCCCATTTGGCAAAATTGGCAGTAACAAAGGTGCTTCAAAAACAACAACTTAAAATTAACGAGACAGCAATCTTCTGATTCAAAAGTGGCTTAAGCGGAAACAGCCTGAGCAGTCGGAATTGATAGATTATACACAAGCATCAACAAAACGGAGTATATAATCCAAAATACTATAATTACGAAATTAACTAAATTAGCGCCTGAGTGAATAATCCAGTTGTTGTAGAATTTGTTGCACCATCGATTAGAAATGACTTAGATGAAGCTAGCTTTGTGTGGATTGTATGTAGTTTTAAACGTTGGTATTTGAATGCGGCTTCCTAAAATGTGTTTAGGGTGTACCGAGTGTATTAACCTGGCGAATACAATGAATGCCAGGTATTTGACTTGCATTGCCTAACAATATTCATTTGTGAATGGTTTATGCACTCGCTTGAGGTCTGTCAGATAACTGGTTATACAAATTATTCAAATAGACATCCAAACAAAACTCAACAAACGTTCACACGTAGCCAACCAGCCAAAGCTTGAGGAGCAAAAACGGAAAAATAATGTTGCACAACAAAGAAGTGGAAGTTGTGTTGCAGCAATAAGCATTTGGCAAAAAAAAAAAAGCCAACATCGGGAAAATAAAGCAAGGGACAAAATTCATTGTCATTGAATGCTTTTGTAAATGCATTGAAGCGACCAGCTCTAATGGGCATGAAATTGTGTGAAACCCAATATGGTAGCCACCCCATTTCACATGCTACATGCCCCATGCCATTTATTGGCTTCTGCATACCAAGCTAGACAGGTTGTAGATCAGAAGAGCTCGATCCCGAGCAGGAAGTGCATACGCTAAGCAGTTTTGCAAAGCACCTCTGTCTACATTTAAGGTGCAACTTTTGCTCCCCTGCGTCTGCTTAAGGTGCACCACAATGCTGCCAATTATGGCCTTGGATCATGTGGCATGTGGCAGCCAATCCACCCGCGCGAAACTTTTTCCCCATTGAAAGTGAACGTGTTTTCGCACTGGCATTGACAACACTTCACGATTCCACAGCTCGGAGACTCCACGACTCAAAGACTCGTTGTTGTAGTTGTATTTGTTGTTGTTGTTGTGGTTGTGGCTGTGGTTGTGGTTATGGTTGCTCTTGTGGTGACTGTTGGCGTTTTGGGTGAATAACTTTGGCAATCGCTTGAACTCGCATCAGGCTACCAGCGACGCTCGCCCAGTGAACATCGTCATCGTCCACAAACGCTCCGCGTTCACAAGATTTTAATTTTTTCGATTTTAAATTTGTTTTTATTTTATTTTTTTCGGTGTTGTTCAATGAAGGCACTTCGCGGACATTGAGCATGTGATTTATATTTGAACTTGTGCCTTGTGTCAATCGCTTATATAGAATGAATATGCCGGGCTCGGTGAAGATCCATAAGAATTCGCGTCGGAATTACTTTACGCTAAGCTTTCACCGATTCGATATATTTCGGTGTAAGTGCGATCGATACTAAAAAAGCCTGTGTACAAATTACTATAATTGAATCAAAGCATTGTTGTCCAATATTGTATATATGACAAGCTCATACATATAGTATTTGATAGCGGATTATATTATAACTGTTTTACAATCAGCAAATTAGATATATTCTCTTAATTTCTGCTGATCTGATGATTTTGTAATTATAAGAAAATCTTGTAAATATTATCCTTAAGTCCCCTCTCGTCAAGGCAGACAGCATTTTTCACTTTCCACTTCCCCTTGACATAACAAAAGCTCTATTACAATTCAATTTACATTCGCAATTTCACCATAAACGGCGAACCTGTTGACAGGCCACAAACCAGATCCAAAGTCAAGCCAAATGAAGCCAATCCCAAAATCAGAGAAATGCCAACATCCAGATCAAGTCAGACTACTCTACAAATTGATAAAGTGCAAACGAAAAAAGTAAAATGGTTGGCAATCGCAAATATCGTTGGTCAATTAACGTTAGTTTTTCATTCGATGGCTCAAACTGGCCAGACCCGATCCCATTCATTTCGACTGCTCTGACCATATACAATGCCATCGAAAATTGACAAGACGACCTGCCTGCGAAGCCACATTCAAGCAGCAGCTTTCCAGTTCTGCCGCCCAGTCGGTGAAACGAGTTCCAAGTCGCGTTCACAAAGCCGTGAAAGTTGCATTGCCGAGGATCCATAACATTATCATGGATGAGGAGGTGGAAGAGCAGCGTCGCATGGGGCTTTAGAGCGGTGGCTAATTAAATGGGAAGTGGGAACATGTGTACCACTTGGCTTAGATGGTAGATGTCCACTAAAAATGTGAGCTGTCGTTTTTGTTGTGTATCATGTTTCAGTCGTCGTTCAGTTCAAGTTTTGAGTCAAATTATATAGCTGATACCGCTAAAGTGAGCTCTCTCGTTTCTGTTGCTGTTTACCTAGCAAAGCTGGTACATTTGAGATCTCTCTGTAAATCTGATCATTGAAAAACTAAGTTTTTGTTCAAGAATAACTTTGTATAATTGCTGAATTTATCGAGCAGTATCTACCAAATTATCAAGTTAGTTGGTTTCAGCAACCTCTCCAACAGCTTTCCTTAAATCGATAAATTTTGATATCCGACCAAAGTTTGACAATATTCTTAATCTTTTAATGAATCTTTTACCTATAACTGTTGTGGACCGAATCGCTTCAAGGTTCGGGTTCAGTGGCTGCAATTGCATTTATGGCTGCATTTTGGGCCACTTCATTTGATTAAGACGTAGTCGAAATCCATTAGCCAGTCAGCTGTTTGGTGAAAGGCGTCGCACGCTGCATACGCAATGAGTTTTGTGTGTTGTTTTTGTTACTGTTGTGGCTCAAGTTGGCGTGACCAAAGAGCTGGGATAACTGCTAACCCACAATAAGTAGTTAACGCAGACAAGACTTAAATTTTATAAATAAATTTGTTCAATTTCAGCGAACAAGAAAGCCAAGCTTCTCAATGGCAATGGCAGCGCCAGCGCCAGCGGCAACGGCAACAGCAACGGTAATGGAAGCGCGTCAGCCGACGCAGCAGCAGCAGCAGCAGCAGCAGCAGTTGGCTCCGCTGACAATGGGGAGGGGCACTATCATCAGCAGCAGTCGGCGGGCAGCATCTATGGCTATGCGGAGGGACCGGGTGGCATGCAGCGCAACAACAGCATCAGTAACAGCAACAGCAACAGCAATAGCAACTGTCAGCTGCCCTTGCACTATCAACAGCCACAGCAGCAGCAGCAATCGTTGTACGCACCGAGCATCTATGGAGTGGGTTCTTCCGCCGAAGATCACTATGAGCTGCAGCAGTCACAGTATGGCGGAATTTATGCCGGCGAGGGTGCAGCTAGCATCGCTGGCGTTCGGTCTGGGGGCCCCAATTTGGTCAACAAACAGCTGGTGTTGCCGTTTGTGCCGCCCAGTTTTCCCAACAAATCACAAGACGGCGTCACGCATCTCATCAAGCCGTCGGAGTATTTGAAGAGCATTAGCGATAAGCGTTCGTGTCCATCCTCGGCCCGGTAAGTTAAGAAAGCCACGCTAGCTTCGCACCCAACTTCGACGTCGACTCAAACTGCATTTGTTGTAGTTGTAGTTGTAGTTGTAGTTGTTATTGTTATTGTTATTGTTTTAATTTAGCTGCACATCTCGTGCGGCGGCAACATAAGTAATTACCACCAAAAGTGGCAGAAGTACAGTTGCCTTAATTAAGCAGCAGACAATGCAGCGCATACTCGCTGGCTCGCTGCCTCGGTGGGGCAATTAACACAGCACCACTTGCCAGCCAGCCACTTCCTCAGCGGCTCAAGAGTGCATGAAATTTTATGCGTGCTGCATGCCAGCCCCATTTTTTCGCCAACTTATTCGCCTGGCTCCGTTCAGTTGCAATCCAAAGATGATACTGCGCACACGACACGCCTGGTGCAGGTCCGGCACACCACACCACACCACACCACAAAAACATCACAGCACACACAAATACACACACTGTGCACCAAGCACCCACCCACTGAGATGTGTATTCATCAATTAAGTATTGTCCCCTTACAGCTCCACAGACACGGAGGATTACATGCAGATACAGATTGCTCAACAACAGCATCAGCATCATCATCACCAGCATCCTCATCAGCATCCGCATCATTCGCATGCGCTGGGCATGGGTGAGCAGCCGCCGTTGCCACCGCCTCCGCCACCATTGCCGCACCACATGATGCCGCCGCCAATGCCAATGTTACTGCCTGCAATGGCCGGCGATGCCACCAGCAAGTCCCAGAAGCCCAAGAAGCCCCATGGCTCGGCAGCGCCCAACAGCCAGGATACGGCCACACGCAAACAACATCAGCCACTGTCCGCAATATCCATACAGGATTTGAACAGCGTACAGGTTCGTTTTGTGATTGAATTGAAAGTGAAAGGCATTAGATGCTTAAGGTGTTTCATTTTGTATTTGTATACTTGACACATCACCGCAATATCGGATTGTGTATATATACATTCATTATATATATTATGTATAATGTTTGTCGGATAGTTTTATTTCCTTTCAAGTTGAGACTTTACTTACGTAGTTATATAGAATTGATCGATTATGGACTGCAAGACTGATCACTTAAATGATTTCTGATCGCTTTGCGTTACAGTTGCGTCGCACCGACACACAGAAGGTGCCAAAGCCGTACCAGATGCCGGCGCGCAGTCTGAGCATGCAGTGCTTGACAACCAGCACGGATACTTATCTGAAAACCGATCTGATAGCCGAGCTGAAGATATCAAAAGACATACCCGGTATTAAGAAGATGAAGGTGGAGCAGCAGATGGCCAATCGCATGGACTCGGAGCACTATATGGAGATAACGAAACAGTTCACGGCCAACAACTATGTGGATCAGGTGAGTCACGATGCCGATGCGCTCTTAGCTGTGTATCTGGCGAGGGGGGATGGGAAAGAGAAGTAGATTGTCATGCGTGTCAAAGATCTACTTACAGATACCAGAAAAGGATCAGGCCGGCAATGCCATACCCGACTGGAAGCGTCAGATGATGGCTAAGAAGGCGGCTGAGCGTGCCAAAAAGGACTTTGAGGATCGCATGGCCCTCGAGGCGGAATCACGTCGTCTCTCCCAAATACCGCAATGGAAACGCGATCTTTTGGCGCGTCGCGAAGAAACTGAAAACAAGCTGAAGTAAGTGTTGGGTGGGTATGGTGATTGGGGTCTGTGGGGGTCTACAGTGGGCTGAATGAGTGATTGAGTGGCCCAGCTAGACAGTTGTCGGCCTCCTCTCTCTGACCTGTGCTCGCTGTCTGTGCCATTTTGCAGAGCGGCCATCTACACGCCCAAAGTGGAGGAGAACAACCGCGTTGCAGACACCTGGCGCCTCAAGAACCGCGCCATGTCCATCGACAACATTAATCTGGCCACCTGTGGCGGCGGCCTCAACGTCGAGCAGCATTATCAGCAGCTGCAGCTACTCCAACAGCAGGTGCAACTGGCCAATCCGCAGGGTAACAACAAGGAAAATTACAGCGATGTGTCCTCAGCATCCAAGCCCGGCGATAGTGAGCCACCGCTGTCGCCACCGCCACCACCACCCCAGCAGCAGGATGCTCAAGACAATGGCGAGGAGAAGCAGAATGACAATGACAACATCATTCCTTGGCGCGCCCAGCTGCGCAAGACCAACAGTCGCCTGAGCTTGATCTGAACTCGGCATCTTTGCGTTTAAGTCTCTTATATTGCATTTTTTTTTTTGTCCATTCCCCTCAATGCGAAAATATTAAACTTAACGAGCGTGCAATTCATAAAAATATATATTTCAATATGCGAGTGAAATACATTTAAATGTATGCATGTCTATAGATTTAAGTATATTTTAATTTTGATTTGTTGCTCCGGAGGAGAAACAAGCGTCTCTTCAACCAGCTCAAAATCCAAGGCAAGCTTTAGACCCAAAAAAAAAAAAAAAAACATAAAATAAATAAAAGAAAAGAAAGATATTATGAATGTACTATATAGAAATCTTAATATTGTTAATCAATAACAAACAATCGATTTGCATTGATATTCGTAATAATTTCAACTTTTGCTATGAATTCCATTTTGGTGTTATTCGAGTATCGATTATCGATTATTATTATCAACTAACGATTTTATTTAACTATCAGATTGAATTTAAAACATCGATTGATAATTATTAGTAATATAAGATTATATTTTTTTTTTTTTTTTGCATTGTTATTTGTTTTTATACTGGCTCAATAATATGACTAAAATATAATTATAAATATTAAGAACGAAGTAAAACATTTATTCAGCTGATTTTTTGTAAAGGATTCAGAATAAAGCATATATCAATAAAAAAATACAAGATTTCTTCTTTTTAAATTTGAAAGTCAAATATACAATTAAATAGAAGCACATCGTTATTGTAAGAAAAATAATACTTGTGAAATTTGAAGCGGTATAATTGCTTAAGAGCGGGTTTCTCTTTGCTTGTATGTTATTTCTATTCTTGGTCGGCTGCTTTGTCAACCTGTTGAGGTTAGTATCATGGAGCATACTTTTTGGCTTGAACACTTTAATTGTCATTATCAATACATGAATTGGTATTTCACAGATACTTAAGTGTTTACAAATTTGTGTGTTATGCTGACTTTTTATTTCATCATGTACATTCTTAGGTCAATTGTAAATTTAAATTTCTTATTTTAATTATAAATCATCTCATAGATCATTTGTATTTCATGTTGTAAATCATACAGATTGTATATTCGATATCGTTAAGTATACGTGTACTTAGTCAAAAAGCATTTAATCACATTATTGTGCTGTCCGTTATTTGTTAACCCACTTGTGGAGCCTATTTTAATAACGATAAAGTCAAGTGTCAATCATTGATATTTTAAATCGGCTTAAAATTCAATTTGTACCCAATGGAACTTAATTAATAGAGAGGCACACTGATTAATTCGTCATATATTTTTAAAGGTATATGTATGTTTGTATGTACGCATACAAGTTTGCTTTGATAAACAATTTGTTTTAACAAATCATATATACACACGGGTCCAATTTTCCATGGAGAATAGGAGCAAGCACTTGACGATTGGACACTTCACAGCGATAGGAAAATCGTTATAAAAATGGATAGTCGTTGGTGGATTCAATCATTCTGCAACCAAAGTTCTGATTGCCAAGCACTATGAAAACTATAACAATCTGCCTATTGCTGATCGTGGGCGGCACCTGCCTGCTAAGCACGAATGTAAGTTATCAACTTGTGTTAAGCAACAACTATAAAAACGACCTCTTGTCATCATTTAGGCCAACGCAACTGCTGGCGATTCAACTAACTTCGAGGACATAGATCTGGACACTTTGATTGCTGAGTTGGATGACGAATATGTGGATGTTCAGGAGTATGGCTTCATCAGATCGGTGCGCAAAGTGCTCAGGAAGGCGCTGAAATCAATCCGTGGCGTCAACTGCATTGTAAAGGAGGTAACTGAGATCCTGACCGCCGCCACCGACTACGTGGATGCTGTTGACGCTTGCGGCACAGCCGTGCCCAAGGATGTGGCTGCAATTGTCAAGTCATGCAAGGACATCATAACCATCTGCAACAATATTATCCATTTGAACAGCCAGTTGTGTAGCACCGATGACACCGATTCAAACCAAATGTCCTCCAAGAAGTGCACTTATCAGCTGTTCAAGGCAACCATGAAACTCGCTAGAAAAATCAACACCACTCTTAAGCAGATCGCCAAATTGCCCTCCGATACGAGCTCCTGCTTTGGAACTGCTACGAACCAGTTGAAGGAGACCTTTAACAATTTCTTGCCCAATATCAACGCTTGCATCGATGATATGTGAATGTAATAAAAATAAATATTCAACTATTAATTGCAATCTTAAAGTGGAATTTGTATTCAATAGTAATATTACTTGAAATCTGCAGATATTTTTTGCCAACAATCCAGAACCGAAACTTACCCTTGCAGACCGGAATTCATCTGTTGACATCTAAATTTTAGTCAGGGGTTCTAAATAGTCCCGATTCATCGAGGTAGCTCTTAAAGTGATGAAGTCCAATTCATTTTGGGTGACAAAGGAGAAGGTAACAAAAGTCAATGTTGGAACTAGGTTTATCTCAATAGTTATATATAACTGAAATCAATTTCACAATAATAATTCCTTTGGTACTAATGCCCATATAATATCAAAAGCTTTGTTGTTTTTTGTTTAGTATTTATAAGCAGGTGCATGAGCTCATGGAATTAATAACAACAATAAAAACTAATTTTAAATATTAATGGAACTTTGTCAGCTGTGTAGTTTTATCTATAAATTAAGTCCTAAAGTATGTGAACACAAACCCAGTTGATATTGATTAAAACTTATTTTTCTGATACTGGAAGCTAAAGCTAGAATACTAGAATTATGAATCGGTCGACATGTTGTTCGTCGTACAATTTTCAAAAACTTACTGTAAGTATGTAAATCGATAAGAGTATATATCTCTCACAATTTGAAAGCTAGAGTCACCAAACTTGTGAGGTGCCACAATACAATCTAAATCTTATTGTGAATGATTCAACGCAATGCGAGAAACTAGAAATTCTATCTGGAATTTTAAAGATGAACCAGAGACTATGAAGACTATTTAGCCGTTAAACGAATAAAATAACAACTCAATGAAGTTAGGAATGACATCAGTAAATAATGGTATCCATTGCTGATTTGAATTTGAATAAATTAAAATAGTTGAAAATAATGTACATTACAATTATAAAACATTATATTAAAGATCTGATGCGGCTAGAAGTTCCTAAGTCTGTTCTTAAATAATCCAATCTTTTAAATTGCAATCGCAAAATCTAAAAATATTTCTTAGACTAAAACTTGCGCTTCCATAAAAATCCCAAGACCAGTTGATATTTAAAAAAAAAATTTGTATATGCTCATTTAATATGTATTGAAAAAAAAAGAAAGAAAAAGTAATTAAAGAGAGTAGCAGTTAGTTGCTGGTAAGCTTAGAGCAAGACTTCATGTTGGCGGGGAACTGTGTGTAGTAGTTGGTGAGAGTGTTTGTGGCGTTGGTAACACAGGTGACAGCATTGGGACCAGTTTGGGGTATCTTCTTGGCCAGCGATATGGCTTTCTTCACCTGTATATAGAGGTTGAAGACCTGGCTTAGTGTCTTGACAGCGCAGCTGCTGCTTATGCTCGGATTCGTGGAGTCATCGGTGCTGGCGCAAATGTTGGTCTTGAGATTGATGATATTGTTGACGCTGGTAATGATTTTCACATTGGCATTGATCAGATTGGTAACATCCTGGGCAGCGGCAACGCCACAGCCCACGACATCGGCATTGTATTGCAGGGCACTAGCCTTGATGCCCAGAACCCATTTAATAATGCAGTTGAAGCCCTTCACGGTGCGCAGAGCACCCTTGATGGCCCACCACGTGCTCGAAAATATGCTGAACATTTCTGGTTCGAAGACCTCACCATCGACACTAGCGAAATCACTGGCCTCGTATACCAGGCCCGTCTCCTGGTCCATCAACGTCGGCTGCCAGATGGCGGCATTGGCCTATTTGGTCAAGACACACATTAATCCCCAGTCTCACTCATTCTGTAAGCCAAATACTTACACCAAGCACGCAGACTGCTGCAAACAGGGCGAATAATGTGAACTTCATGTTGAGTTGTTCGAACGCTTTCTCTTTGGACAACACCGTTAATTGGGTCTTTTTATAGTGTTTGCCGTAGATACTGGTTAAAGGGTCATCGCTTATGCATATTCCGATAACGTCAAGAATTCACTTTTATCGAACTGTCTGCCTAATCCCCCATACACGTTTCATTCTATATTATATACGTGCAATAGCAACGGCTACTTTGGGGCTACTTCGCATATCAGTTAATGACTTGATAACAGTCCCATTAATCTTAGTTGGCCAAAAGCGGCGCAATTAAGGTGCTTATCTATAATCATTAGAAATACATATGTGTACATATTACACTCCGTAACATTGAAAGTCACGATGATTTATTTTAAATTTTACAATTCTGAAATGAATTACTTACTTTTTGTGGCGGATACAATATATTTACATGGATGTGACCAAGACGAGAATGAATAAAAAATAGGTTAAGAGTCATAAGAGGTCTAAATCTGATATATTACAAGGATCTAACAACAAGGCGAATCAGACAAAGCTGACAATTTTAATTTGCAATTTGAGCAGATGATGGTGGTTTGGAGCATCCGGTAGCAAAGTACTAGCATTATTAGTCTAATTTATTTGCATAATGGGAAGGGCTGGAGAATATTGTGATCAACAGGAACAGTAGCGAACATGAGAGGACACAGACATAACTAAAAAATAAAGAATACTCCAGTAGAGAGAGCTCGAAGAACTCGAGAAGATAATGCCAGGTTTTTATCCGTAAATTAAGTCAAACCTAAATGTTTGTAAATGTGTGCAAATATAAATGCAAGTGTGGGCATATCAAGTTATAATCGGTCATTATTTCGGGACCAATTTGACAACGGCATATATGTTTTTGCATTAAAATCTGTGCATTGTGCCCACTGTTCGCCGATCGATCACAAGAGACTCACTGTGCTAGCAGAGACCCCAAGCAGGTAAACCTTACACATCTATTCAAGGGTTTGGTTGAGGGTGTGCAAAGTATGGGGAATTTGCTGGAGCCGTTAAGTTGGCGTTGAAAAAATAAAATATACCACAATTTTATTCCAATGCTGTCGATGACTTAAATGAATCAAAAGCCAAAAAAAAAATGGAAGAATACGCTAGTCGAAATTTGGTATCCTCAACTCAGCTGCCAAATAAATTGAGTCGATAAAAATAAAACTGTGAAAGTTCTTAATGTATTAATTAATCTATAAGCCCCAATAAAACGCATTTTATTTTGAGCTTGAAATACCAAAAAAATTTAGTTTATTTCTTTTATAATAGAGTATTCGAAAATGTATTGATTATATTTTCCTCAAATTTTGTGTATTAGATATTCATACATTATTTTTGAATAGGAGACGATAACATGTTATGTAGAGAATGTAGCTATCATCTGCGCAAAATAATGGAAATTTAATTACTTAAGCTGGTTAATTTTGAGTCTTTAGTTCGCGCTTGCTGTTGTTGTTGTTGTTTTTTTTTTTTTTTTGTTTTTGTTGTTGATGTGGTTGCTGATAATATTTCAAGTTAGGGGCTTCAGAATTACAGCAGATAAGGTCGAGTGTGCCACAATTCATGTGTGTGAGTGTGTGTGTGTGTGTGTGTGTGTGAGTTAAGCTTGTTTATTGAAAGTAATTAGTTAGTTATTTCTTGATTTTGTTGTTGTTAATGTTCTTCATTCGATAAAGTGGTAAGTTGATAGTCAAGACTGCAGCAGATTTGGTCGGTTGTGCAACGTTGAGTGTGCCCGTGTGAGCGTGTATCTTAAGTTAAGGATAAACTGCTTAAGTCAAGCTATTTTTAAGTTAACTACATCAATAAAGTTAAATATGTGTCTATTTGTGTGTATATGTGTGTGTGTTTGTGTGTGATTGTGAGTGGGTGTGGGTGTTGGTGTGCCAGTAACTTGCTATTTGGCCTTTTATCGTTGACCCGTTCTGCATATTCGATCCGTTCTATATATGATACATACATAAGAGGTATATATGTATGTACGGTGACTCTTTAGCTTGCCCATTTCCATTTGTTGCTGTTATTGTAATATTTAGCTGATGCTCGTTATCTTTTCGTAGCTGCATTTTTCGTGTTTAGTTTCTCGAAATCGTTCCAAAAATTCAGTTTTATAATCTTTAATTGTAAAGGTATAATTTAAATTTTGTAATGCTACTTCAATTTCTCTTTTCTTTTTTCTTAAGTAAAATTGAATCAAATTCCTCAGTGCTTGCAGTGCATATCGTACTTAGTTTTGTTTTGCTTTATGTCTGTTAATGTTGTACTTAGGGACTACCAAAAAATTTTAACCATTTATATTATGTATACAGCTATAAGTACAAGTATTATATTATATTATATTATTTATCTGTATATTATATTACAATGCGTAGAGCATGTACATTTCTAGCAAATAGCGCCAAGTTGAAGTATATCTTGATTTATTTACAATTTACAGTTAAGCAGTTTAGAACTCTTCGATAGAAATACTTTCAGACTTGCGTAGATTTTTTTTTACTTTTGTAGCATAAAGAGTATAATTTGCGAAAAAAAGAAGATTATTTTCTTTGGTTTCGTTGTATTCCAATGAAAAATAATTTGCACAGCTGAAAATAAATAAAAATTCTGGGGGAAAGGATGAAATTTGCTAATTTAAAATACGATGTAAAGTTGTAAACTGAGCAAATTCGAAAATAATGTAGTAAATCAAATTGAAAGCATGCATTTCTTTTGGAAATAAGATATATTTATTCTCTCAGTGTATGAGAGTGTGTGTGTGTGTGTGTGTTTCTTTAAGCATAAATAAATAAATAAAAATTAGTTTAAGGTATTCACTAGACGCATAATTTGGATGAATGTATATAAGTATGCACACATTTATAGTAGTGTATATATACATATACTATTTTCTTCCTCTTTACAATCCCATCAACTGGGTAGTTGTTGTTGGTTTCTCTCTTTCTAGTTCTTGTTTCAGTTACTTCCTTTACAATTTTTGTTGCCTTAGTTACTAGGGTTTCATAAGACTTGCGTTTCATGTTGTTTTCCATTTTGTTCAACAATTCTCTTATATGCATAAAAAAAAGTATATATATAAATATATATATATATGTATACATATACAAATACATATACATATACATATGTATATATACATATGTGTGTATTTATATATGCTATGTATTGATGTATTTAGCTTCTATATTGTTATATGTACATGAATATCATCGTGTTCAGCATGTATATACACACACATATACACACCCGTACATATATACTTATCTAGCTGTTGCTTCGCTTAAATGTAAAACATTCATCAGGTTGTATGCGTGTTGTGTATGTCTGTTATGTGTATGTCTGCTATATGTGTGTGTGTGTGTGTGTGTGTGTGTTTCTGTTGTCAAGGCATTGTATGTTGTCATAATAAGAATATGGTGCTGAATTCTTTCGCTTTGTTTCGATTCGTAATTTATACAAAATGCACGAAAATATACTTGTATTCCTTAGTTTGGCTTGGACCCGGTTGTTCTCCGAACAGGTGAATATTTAACCCACTTACAAAGTGTCTGTCTGTGTACACATTTAGATAACGCTTGTCAGCACTGTTGGCTGTTAACTCAGCAGTCGCTCATTGCACATGTTCATTTCAGTTTCAGTTAATCCTCAAACTACAATTTCAATATCTTCTGATCAGATTACTTAGGGATAGCAAAGCGGCAAGTACATTAATTACATTTCAATTATCAATTATATTTCAAACATTTTGGAAATATAATTTTGGTTTTTTTTCCGAGTTATTTCTGTGTTCAATTTGCAAACGCATTGTGCTGTTCTCTAAATTCACTAGATTGCCATTAAATGCTTGAGACAATCTCATTTGAACGATTTATGGCTAGCTTTGGGAACACATCTCCGGGGCATTTAGCTGGTTGCCCCCAAGGGCTGCCACACATCGTTTAATTGGGAAATCGCATTAGGCACACCACATATAATTTTGCATGAAATCCAAAACATACTACCCTCTCTCTGGCAAAAACTAGCGGTGCCACCAGCCGCCAATAAGGAAATGCTCGAGCCAAGAGCTCTGGTGGCCGGCGGCAGCGAAAGTTTTTGCAGCGATCCAAGACTTATTTCTATTTGAATTCCAATTAGAATTACTTGATGCAAATACAAATATAGTTTATAGTTGCAGTTAAAGTTCTGTTCGCTTAGGCGCTAAATATGCTAGCTAACTAGTTAATTACGTTGCCTTATGTTCAATAGTGAGATTTAAATTTGTTCATTCTTTTTTCATTTCACAATATCTTTAACCAATTGTGTTGCAAATTTTGAAACGTAATTGACCTTAGCGCATTGTACAACTGAACTTAGCACTAGTAGAAGATGATCTATTGGCAAAAATAAAAAAAAAAAACAACAGCAAATCTACACATACATCTGACATAGAATTAGGTTATACAATTGCAACTTAGATTAGATAAGGTTTGCTTACGGTTCTATAAGTTTAATCAGAATATTCATTATGTGTATGTAGTTCACTTTTGATTTGGTAAAATATAATTTGTATATATATACATATATATATATATATATATATATGTGTATAATCTTATAGATGTAAATCTGTATTTGCATATTATCAGATATTCCTGTTGTTCATTGTTTTTGTTGTTTTTGTTGTTGTGGTTGCTAGCTTTGTAATAAAGTCGCTTAGAGTTCCCAATAGTCTTTATATGTTTTTGCTCAATTGAAAATATGTTTATAAACATACATTACAAATGAATATATGTAAATAAATATATATACATATCTTTCATTGGTTTTGTTTTTGTTGGTTACTTTGTTCGTAGGGTAGTTGGGCTCTAGAAAGCCTGAGGGTTGGGCGGGTGAGGACGGGCGCTCAAGTCTCTGTGAAGTCTTTGATTTAATTTGAAACACATCGAGAGATACAGATATACTTATATGAAGCCAGACAGAGAGGGAGATAGTGAGAGAGGCAGAGAGAGAGAGATAGAGAGAGAGAGAGAGAGAGAGAGAAAGACTAACAGTGATGAAGAATTGCTTTTTAGCCAGAGAACCAAAAGACTTGGAAACACGGAACATTTTCTGGGTTGTGCATTGCTTAAAAAGAGTGTGCGCATGGGACTCTATGTATGTGTGTGTGTGTGTGTGTGTATGTGTGTGCTTTTCGGTATGTGTCTAATATAGTCATATATTGGGTAACGATATTTACTGTATATATGTACATATTGTATGCTTGTCTGTGAGCTAAAGCGTGTGTTGCTGCTGCTTCGCTGCTTTTGGCTTCATTTGCAATTTACAAGAGTTACGCATATGTATTAATATTTTTCAACTTTCAACAATTTGATTGTTCTTTCTTCTGCACTTATTCAACTATATATTTAAATTTCCAAAGTATGCATTTTCTATTATGCTTATAGGTATGTGCTACTAATATATAATTTATTTTTGAATATGCGTGCTTTTGTTGCTGTTGTTGTTACTGTTGTTGTTGCTGTTGTTGTTGTTGTTGTTATTGTTACTGTTTGTTTTTGTAGTTGATCTTGTGGCTGTTGCAGATTCTGTGGTTGCTTCTCATTATTATTATGTCTCGCCTAATATCAATACATCAATCATACGCCACAATGGCCCGTTTCGCTTTTGCAAATCCAGTCCAGAATATTAATTAATTGTCAGTTGTGTATTTTTGTGTGCAAGTTTTAGTATAATTAAATTTAGATATCACAATATAATCATCTTTTAATTTTGTTCGCCAAATATTAAAAACAAATGTTTTGAAAACACGCCACAATCTAAGAGCAGGCTGTGTATGTGAATAGAGATGTGTTTGTGTGTGTGAGTGTTGCTTCTAAGTTGCTTCTAAGTTTCGAATAAATAAATTGTCACTTAATTACTAAGACAACGCATAAGTGTGTTGAGAATTATTTCTTGCTTAATTTTACAACTAATTTTATACTTTTAGCTTGAATTATTTTCAATTTATATTTCCAGAATGCAGTTATGCATTTTGCCATTAATTGCTGTAGACACAAAAAATAGAATTATATATATATATATATATGCTAAAAATAAAGAAAAATCTAACAACAAAAACAAAAAAAAAAAACAAAGCTTAAAATTAAAAATAATCATTTTGCGCGCCTTGATGCAGGCAACATTTTTGTTTTTTTTAAAACTAACTTCGCATTCTTTGCTGAGTTTTCATTTTAGTTTACAATTAAATTCTGGTTTGCAGTTCCGAATGCATAAAACGCTCTTGACCTTGGGTAAGCAGCGGATGTGTCAGTTGTCGCATTTGTAATTGAATTGGAATGTTGATATTCGCATTGAGTGTTTTTTTCAGTTTGAGTTTGTAAGTATTCCGTTAATCGGGAGTTTTTGATCAAGCAGGTTTTTTTGTTTTTGTTTTTTCGTCAGTCAGGTAGTTTTGATCAATCAGTGTGCAATTAATCCAGCAGAGCACACAATTTCCATTGGTTGGCAGCAAGAGAGTAAGATTTTCCGCACATTAGAATGTTAACCATTGGGATTTAGATCTCGTGTTTCAGCTGGGGTTCAAGGAATATGCACCCATCTAGCGCTCTACGAATGATGATCTTTGCGTGCTTTACATGGAGGAGCCCAAAAGCGATGTACAATTGGTTGTTGTGGTGATTGTGGTGGTGGTTGTGGTGTTTTTGATGGTGGCGCTTGTGGTGGCGATGGTGGTGGCTGTGGTAGGAGCGGTGGTATTGGTTGCGGTTCTAACGGTGGTGACGATGTTAGCATTGGCGTCCCCACGCAGCTTACTTTCCAAATAGGTTGCTATCTCATTGGCATTCTTGTTGAATGCAACCATCATGGCCGTGTTGCCACCGGCGTCGCGTGCCTCCAAATTGGCGCCTGCAGCCACCAGCATTACGCATACGTCACGGCAATCTTGTTCCGCTGCAATATGCAAAGCCGTCTGACCGCTAGGAGAGGAATGCAAAGAGAAAGAGACAGTAAGAAAGAGTATATTTTAAAAGAAGTTTAGCAGACCTTAGAGCCAGAACAGAAGTAGCTATGTGGATACGTGCCTACCTAGTAAGCCAGGGTTCAATTCGAGTTATTTATTTGACTTATAACTTATAACTTATGTGCAACAAGTAAGAAATCTCTAGTCAAGAGAGCTATTAGATTAGATAGATTATGTAACCAAGTTACTTTTATTCAAAATTTCTGCTACTTAAAGCTTCTGAGATCGGCGTGAGCCTAGAGAAATTCAGACTTGCGGACAGACAGACAAACATGGCTAAATCGTCTCGGCTTTCAATGGTGATCAAGAATATATTTACTTTTTGGGGTCGGTGACGGTTGCTTCTACCTACTACAAGTAAGTACCCACTTGCGATTAAGTACCAAAAGTTCAAATTATAAATGTTGTTGTTCATGGTGGAGGTGCATAGGCTGAGGCTTTTCTTTTTTACTCACCGCTCCTTGTCCGCCATGTTGATAACGCGACGTGTGGTACATGAGATGATGTATTTGACAATGTCCTTATGGTTGTACTTGCAGGCAAAGTGCAGTGCAGTCTGCCCGTTCTTGTTGACTGATTGTAATGAATTACCCTGTTCATGTAAAGCACGGAACTGCAATAGAGAGACACATCAGATATTTTTAGAGATTGAGAGTGCAACATATCGCGAGGTAAGCAGACCACATAAAACAGCAACAGAGAGCTAGCACCGTTTGTCAACAACTACGATGGACAACAACTATTTTATAAGGGTAACAGAAACGAATAATTAAAAGCTACCATATTTAAATCGCCGCCTTGGGCCGCTAGTAGTACGGCATCGGAAGTTTGCTCCAAAATAGGGCTGTTATTTGTCGGAAGTTATTCACAAATGTGTGTGTGTGTGTTTGGGTGTGCGTGTGTGCGTGTGAATAGAATAGTAGAGAAAAATAAAAGAAAAAATTAAAGCATCAGATTTGGTTTGACAAGTTGCAAATGTCTTAAATATTTAGTATGAGAAGATCTCTAGATACAGAGTGTATAAGCAATTGAAATAGAGATAATAAAGACAGAATAGATAGATAGATAGATAGATAGAAACTTAAAAATATTAGATATAGTTTAAAGACTATAAAACAGAGTACCTGAATCCACAACCAAAAACATCTTCGTTAAAACTGAATAAACGATCTTTGTTGCTGCGTGCATTAAACAACATCGGAAAAATATATTTAATATTAATTAACAGAAGAAAAAAAGAGTAGTAACGAAAAAAAGAGTGAAAAAAAGAGATTCAGTGTAAGATAGACTTAGTGAGTGAAAGAGTGAGATATTGGGTATTTTGTGTGAGAGAGAGAGAGAGAGAGAGCGTAAAGTGTTCAAGCAGATTATTGGCCGTTAAATGAGCTTTTTAAAAGCCACAGCAAGTGAAAGAGGGAATGAGCGAGGAGAGAGAGAGATCGAGGGAGGAGCCGAGAGCGAAAACAGCGCTGCCAGATTGTTCACAAAACATATTTAGTGATATGGCCAACGGCTTGTGAGCCTCTTTCTATCTTCGTCTCACTCAATTGGCTGGAATGAAGTCGGAGTTTTGCGATGCGAGGACGAAATGAGTGTGGTGATTGTTGAGGATAAAGCAATCGCTTGATTTTACCTCTTCCACTTCAACACTTTAATGGGCTTGGAGCCAATTTGCAAGTCCTCATCTTTGTATGAGATTCGTGTGCGAGTGTGTGCGTGTGTGTGTGTGTTGGTATGTTGAATTTAAAGAGAGATTTACAAATTGTTAGTAGGTCATTGGCAAAAGTTGTTAGAATAAGTGTGCATAACGAACAATCGAACAAAAAGAAGCAAATATCAAACAATAAACGCTTTCAAGCCAATCTGTTAATCAGTTAAGCAGATTATCTACTGAGGCAAACCTACCCGTCGCTTGCACTTTAACAACTGTGTGGTTTGAAATTTGTGTGTTGTTTGGATTTGAGTTTTGGTTGATTGGCTGACTGATTGTCTGATTGATTGGTTTCTTGTTTTTGGTGGGGGGTTTTTGGACGAGAACGGAATACGGTTTAGTCCTTGTCGCTGTTACGCGTAACTGTTAACGTAAGCGTCGATTATATACCAAATATATAAAATACTCATATTTAATGCGTTACTTACATGTGGGCGTGGCAAGGACTAAGCTGTATTCGCTCCCATCACAACGTGAGCAATTAGGTAACTGTCTGTGCTCGTGTGTGTGTGTGTGTGTGTGTGTGTGTGAATATGTGTATATGTCAGTTAGTGCCTCTATGTATGCAAAAAAGACACAAAGCAAAATGCCAATCGTGTAACGCAAGACGGAACACAGAAACAACGTGGACAAACTTTGAGATTGGGCTGCTTAGTGAATAGTTTGGAAGTCTGAGGGTGGATTGGGATGGCTGGCTGGCTGATGGACCCAGCATGGCTCAAAGCTCGAAACGCTTCTTGCGATAATGCAGGTGACAAAACATGCGCTTATCTAAGTACGGCTGCTGCTGAGCGACCTGCTGCTGGTAAAGCTGTAACCGCTGTTGCAGCGGCAGCTCTGTCGGCGTCGACATTGGTTGAGCCGAGCGTTGCCAACAGCTGGCTAACAGAAGCCTACCCGTGCTGCCGTTGCTGCGCCCCTGGGCCTGGTCCAGCTGCCTCCGCTCGGTCTGCGCCTGTCGCTGTGAGAAGGCGGCAAACGAGCGCTCCTGATCCGGGGTCTGCGGCATGGTGGCTGCCTCATGGTCAAGTATGTATAGTTCATCGATGGCAATGTCGCAGATGTAATGCAAGTGCTCCTGGGCTCGATCGATCCGGAAATAGTGCTCAGCGGTGCATGCTGCAATTGAACGATGGCAACAAGTTAATTGGGGTTTTGTAAACGGGGCACATGCAACAGTCACAATTTACCGTCGATGAAGCACCAGTCCTGGGATACTTTCGGATAGGTTATGGACTCCTCAAACTTGGCGTTCAGCATGTGGCGCACATGTTCCAGATCGCACTGAGACTCGATGTCAATCTGCCCCAACCTGTTGGCCAGCCGGCGCAACATCTCCTTATCATAGTGATATTGTTCGTATTGCTGCATTGTTATTCTCATAATTTGCAGTTGCAGCTTCTCCAGCGGATTGATTCTATGCATAACAGATAAATATACAATATTAAAAATGAACTTTAACTGGAAGGTTAAGAGGCGAAAGCTGTAAGGGTCAAGTGAACTTGACTTGGAAATATGCTGTACCCAAGAAAATCACAAATTTTCAGTTCGTGTAGGGTTTATTTGAGAAGTGTGTGGGGGAAAACTCACTGGACATCGCCGCGTCCGTGCTTGCGCTTGGACAACATAAGCGCCTGATTGAGCAGCTCGATCTCAATAATGGATGGTTTGACGCGACAGGCCTCCCCATCGACCTGCATGGGAATGGTACGATTGGTAATGATGCGTGCCTTGCGGCACTGGCAGATGCAGGTGCCGTGCATGCCTGCCTGCAGCATTGGCAACTGATAGGTTGTCATGCCAACCACTTCCATGAGGCCATCGTCGATAGTCGGCTTCGTCGGACCGTGCGAGTCGTTCCACGGATGTGTGCCGCCCCCATAGCTACAAGTGTATTTGGTCAGAACTAATAAATATGAGCGGCTGGTTAACAGTGTTGGCTCACCTGGGTATGTTGAGAAAGAGGACGGCATGGCAGCCGGCGTCGCGCAGCTTGCCAGTGAAGTCCTGGCCATCGCATTCGAGCGTCACCCATTGTGAGAGATTGCGATACTGGCGCAGGATGAGATCCTTGCCGCCCATCTGGCCGTAGTACATCTTGTTGCGCAGTCGCGAATTGAAGCGCTCCGGATGCGCTTCGCGCGCCTCATGGAATTCGAGCGCAATATGCGCATCTACGCCAAAGCTAAAGTAATTGTTAATCACATTCAATGGAACGTTCGGCTTGCTGCGATCAACGTGGTCGTCGGTCACGTCATCATTGGGCGTCACCCTTACACGCCAGCGGTCCATCAGAACGCACTGCGACATGCCAATCTCGCGCAGCACCTTCCCAATGGGTTCATCGGTATATCCCTGCGATATTAGAGTGAATCGCACATAAATTTGTTGTCTCACATCAAAATAATTTTGTTGAGTTAATTCACTTACGCCACCCCAACCGAGCGATCGGGCGAGATCATTGCCGGTGCCCAGTGGCAACACGCCAACTGCTGGCACCGGCTGCAATGGCGGATGAATCTGATCCAGGACGGATAGTACCCAACCAACCGTTCCATCACCGCCGCAGGCTAGCACCCGCAGATTTGGAGCCTTGCGGTACATTTCCAATCTGCACATCGAGTTGGAGGGAGATGGAGAGAGAGAGAGAGAGAATAAGTTGATTAATAAGCTGGCAGGACTAGTCGACTTGCAGCGCATTACTATTAAATACTTCGTTTTTGCTACTTATTTATTTATGTTTGTTTTGAATAATTATTAATGTGCTCCAAAAATGTTGGGCATCAATCATCATCCTCTATGAAAAGCATTTTTTCTTGACTTTATTTCTATTCAGTTTATTAGGTTAGACTGTCAGACTGTGTTTCTGTTTCGTGGTCTGCTTATGAGCTGGAATTAATTTGGATAAAGTGATTTATGATATTGATTTTTAATTGTTTTCAAGTATTTTTTTTTTAGCTAATGGGTTTGTTCTCTACGAATGTATAAATTGGTCTATAATATCTATAATGCTCTAGCTTAATTGAATAACCTTCTTAGATTCTTAAATACAACATTATAAACAAAGGAATGCAAAACGAATGTTTGTTAGGTGATAACGATACTTACCCCATTTTGGGACCACCCTGCGTCAGATCAAATACCTGACGTGGATTAAGCAATTGCTGGAACTTGCCAAGCAGCTTGACGCCCTGATTGCCACCGGATTTGGGATTAATAAAGACAATGACCGGTATAACGTCCGGTGATGGAATGGGCTTCACAATGAAGCAGCGCGGCTCCTTTTTATCATCCTTGCCCTTGCGTTTTTGCGTCTGCTTCTTGCTCTTGCCGCCAGCGCCGCCACCAACACCACCGGCAGCACCACCCGCTGAGCTATTCTTGTTGCTCACACGAATTGAGGACTTGAAGTTGCCCTTGTTCGGCAGCTTCACAATCCACGATGGCGGCACAATGATGGGCGCATAGTTGCCTGCAAGCACGTACATATATTAGATACCGAGACTGAATGCGAAGAAGGCAGACGACAATGGTTTGTGGTCGTTTGCATTAAGATGCGCGTCAAAATTGGCAGATGACCAACGTGTTCGTTTCGTGTGCGGCTAATTGAGAGCTGGGCGATGGCTGGACTAACCAGAAAATTCCATTTGCCACCTTTAAGGCAGCCGACAAGAGGCAGCAGTGGGCGCAACAAAGACAAGTTAATAGCATAGAAAATATGCCAAAAGTCAGTCACGAGCCACTGGCAGACAAAAGAAATTTAGATGAAGCCACACAGTTGACATACCAAGGACCAAGTCAAGGCGCAATTATGAATACCACAACAGCAGCAAGCGGGACAGAGAGGCAGGTGGGACAGGATGGCAGAGTGGACAGGATGGCTGAAAGAAAAAAGTGGCAGAGACGGACAGAGAAAGAGAGACAGAGACAGAGAAAGACAGACAGACAGAGAGAGAGAGAGAGAGAGAGAGAGAATGAAAGACAAAGAGAGGGAGAGGGAGAGAGAGAGAGAGAGAGAGAGAGAGAGAGAAAGGACAGCAGGCAGTTGGAGCTGCAAAGCAGTGCGAAAACAATGGTTGAAGAATACAAGCAGATAAAGTAGGGCTACGCATTGCAATTGTCGGACAGCAGAGTGGGGGTAGACGAATTCCAGGGTGGGTCATTGGAATGCTCTAGGCCTTACGGATGCCCGCCAGTAATTCTCAATTGCTCCTTATTTTGCTGTCTTGTGGTATCTTCATGGTGTCTCTGGCACACACAATGCGCGTGTAATGCGATGCTGGAGAGTGTGTTAACAAGACGCTCATTGAGACACATTTACAGCCAAGTCCATTCAGTCTAGCACGAAAAAAATATGCACACAGGCCACCCTTCCTCCCCGGGGTTTCAACACACTTTACAGAGTTGGCCATGGCCAATTGCTTTGCTTTTCGGCTCCTACTACTACTACTACTTTTGTAGCAGACACAGCCACAGTTAGTAGTTAGAACCATTCACAGAAACCAGCAAAAGTAAGTACTTCTGGCACTTACAAAGTTTTGACATTTAAGTATTAACTGCTCGAGAGCACCTCTTAAAAGATAAGCACTAAGTGCAACCCGGCTGCAAGACTTTCAGCTAGTGCAACAATTGATTGTGCCAGTTGCACCAAACATTGCAGACATTGTAGTTGGGCTTAATGTTTGGGACTTTGCCGAAATCGTACGTCCATTTTGTCTCTGTACAAGTATTACACTAATTCTAATTTATAGCTATTACTTATCTGAAGTGAGAGTAATTAAGTGAGTAACTTTTAAATTGTTAAATTTTCTATGGTGATTCCAGTATTGCAGAAATTCAAGTTGGTATAAAACAAAACTTTGAATTGCCAATCGACAAATGCTCTTCGAGGCAATAAGAATGATTAAAGAAAAACTTTCAATGCAGCTGAAGGCTAATATTTGAACGCTGTTCTATGCTTGCTCTGCTTGTAGTTTGTGCAGTTTGCACTTATCAAATTCCGACTCCGAAAATGCTGATTTGGGAAATATGCTTTTGCCACTATTGCAATCAATTGAGGACTCTGCAGGCGATTTCTCGGCCCAATCAAACAGTGTTTATTTTGAGAATAGTTTTGTTAAAGCGTGTGTTTTTGTAAGTGAATTCCATTTTATTTCCATAAGCCGTTCCACTCTCATGCCGCAAAGCAGCAAAAATGGAGAGAAAAGAGAGAGAGAGAGAGAGAGAGTCAAAGGTTTTCCTAAGAATCATCTTATCGGCTCATCTGTTGACTTAGTACCGGAACCAAGACTTTGACAAATTGTCAATTCCGCGAAACAAATGCTAATGACCTAAAAACTTGACCCAAAAGCAAAGATAAACGAATCGAGTAGACAAGACAAAAGCAAAAACGGAAAGAATATTAACAATGCGGAAATAGTCATTGGGTTAACAAATTATCATGATATATTATTCCCTTTAAGAATCCTATACAATATATGTAGAAGAAAAACCCCAAAACTTTCAAACGAAAATTGTGTGTCGGCTCAAAACTGTGATGTTTAAAACGAGGCATATTTTTTCCCTCAGATCTCAGATTTCGATAAAAATTAAATTTTTGAAACTTTTCTCCTTAGTTTCAGAAATTAAACCTAATGATTTTTTATAAATATTATTATTAGCTGATCGTTTCACACTTGTTTGCCATATATAATTTAGAAGCTGGAAATGTTTTTCATTAATTTCTTAATTGTTGATGTTGTTTTAAGAAAATAGTGTAAATACTGTTTGGTTTCGGTGTGGCTGAAGAAATCGAGTGCCTGCAGCAAATTAAGACAATGAGTTGAAAAGGACGAGAGGTGTGTCACTGGCTACGTTGTGGATAAATGGCGTTGGACCCGATAAGTTTGTAATGTGGCTGAAAGGGTTAACGGGGCTGAAGGGGGCTGAAGGGGTGGATGGCCGAGTGGGGCGCTATTTTAATGCACAAATTTTAATTAAGTTAACGTTCCGCAATTTATTTGCATGCTCGTCACGTAATTAATCAAAGAGCACAATGGAGAGCGCAGAATGGAAAAGGTACAATGGACTGGTTGGCTGGTTGGCTGACAGGATGGCTTGGTGGCTGGAGCCCGTTCTGTACTCTGTTTGTGCTGTTTGCGCATCGATAATGACAATGGCTGAAACTCACCCAGGCGGCATTCCTCGCCAATCTTGGCCTGATTGAAGCACGACTCCTTGTTGTGATAAACCTCCTGGCACCAGGCACACGATAGAGCGACAATTTCCTTCGATCCAAAGAGCTTGCTCTGCACAGCCTTGTTGCACTGCTTGCACTTTCCCTTCTCCATCTTGCGGTGCACCCAATGGTGATGGGTGGTCGTCTGCTCCCGATACTGCCGGATCCCAACATCCCGATATGTTGGCTTACACACTAGTTGAGTCTTTTCATTCACAATTGGAATGCAATTCTGGTGCGCAATCAGCTGACATGCCGAGCACTTCATCCGCTGTCCGCTCTTCTACAAAAACAAAATTAAGCTTATGTACTTAAGAAACACATTAGCACTGTTTGTTCGTGCCGATCAACTAACTGGCTACTTGACCTGTTGGCAACCTGCCAACTGGGTGCCCATTGATTCATTGAGCACCTTTCTAGTTGCCTGTCCTTAAAATAAACTTTTGCAATTAATTGTATCTAAAATTGCCCGCCAGTCAATCTGTCAATGTTTAGATAATAGTTACAAGTGGCCACAGTTAAAGTCCAGATTAATGTTGGTTAAAAATATTGCCAGCTTTAGTAACTGACTGAATTTGCACACTGTTTTCATCTTTCAATTTTATCATACACCTAGCAACTTGCAGCTCAAAGATTTCCCAATTGTAGCTTAAGTTATGGTTTTGTTGCTGTGACAACTGATTTATTAATAAAGCTCACTTAGTGCTGATTGCGAATATAAATTACTTAAGTGTGACACTATTCTTGTCTTGAAAGCTCAATTAACCAGGTGGACTTAAAAAGCTGCAGAGGCGTGACATTAAACTAGCCCGAGCCCAATATAAAGGTAACAAATGCTAATTTTTGGACAAAACTACTGCAGAACATTCTAGTTTATATTTTCTATGCAATATAATTTATCAAAACGATGTCGTGACATTTTTCCACACATGCAGATAATCAACATTTGTACTTTCATTAAATCACCCGCTGCTCCCTGAACAAAAACTTTACCTTTCTATCACCTAATGACAATCTACTTGTAACTTTCGACAGCAAACTTCTGAGTTTATTGCTGAAGCAATAATAAAAACGCAAACAAGTAACCGTTTACCAGTCCTGATGTATATGAAGTTCGTGCGTGCAAAAGCAACAATTTATATATGAAATTATATATATATATATATATATATATATACTATATATATATATATATATACTATATATATATATATGCTTTTGCATGTTGGACAGGCACGCAATAAATAAATTACACGATTACATGAAGTTTCATTCTGTTTAGCTGCTTTTTTTGCCTCTTGTTCTTGACGCAGTAATTGAATTAGAAGTAAAACGCCAAAAACTCAGTCCAGTATTGCAATGTCAAGTCCCCAACTGAAAGTGTATGTGTGTGTGTGTGTGTGTGTGTGTGTGTGTGTAGAACTTACAATGCACTCCTCGTTGAGGCAGCAGAGATCGCCCGAGGCCGAGGTGGGCTTCCAGTAATGCTCACCCTGCACCGCATTTTCCGTCCAATCCGGGACAATGCGTATTGGTCTACGGGGATTGCTTGTCGATGCCGTGCGTCTATATATCATATGGAGAGAGCAAAAGAGGGAGGCGCTTATATGAGTTGAATTACTGAATAGGATTAATAAGCATATAAGCGAATTATTTTCATCGAAAAACTTGTGCGTAATTAATTAACACACAATCGTATTAGGTTAAGTGCTCTCTAGAATATAATCCCCATAAATGTTTTTCAAACTGATTACATTTATTATTTATCATGTAAATCAATTGTATTTGTCATTGGATATTTGGAGTGTGAAAGTGCCGCTTTGTAATGAGAAATATTAATTAATTAAAAAATGGATTAATTAAAAGTGTAAAATAATTTACAGATTTATATACAACATAAGCCTAAAATCTTAATAAATTATTAATTTTGTGAATATGCTAAATAGTAATGGCAATTTGTAGATAATATATATGATTGTCTGCATGTAAGTATGTATTTATGTATGTACTAGATAATTGCATTAATTTGCCACTTAATCGTATGGTTGTACATTGTTCCCAAGAGATAAAGTATATATTATAGTTGTACGTTATAAGTTGTTCGTAGGGAAGTGCACGAACAAAGAAGTTTTAATGAGTTATTCTTATCCATTATTGCACTCGAGGAGCACACAAAACAATTTTGGCTGTAGCTAAATGCCAGCCAATTCTTCCAATGTTTCCCTGCAGCGCCTGAAGCAACAGTCGACTCACCTCTTTCGGCGCCAGGCACCCAACGAGTCGAGCTTCCTTTGGCGGAATGCGGATTTTCGTTGCATGCCAATCGACGAGCGTCGAAAGCGACGCACAGTACCCGTTCCCGTTCCCGTACCCGAACCCGAACCAGAACCAGAACTCGAACCAGAACTCGAAACCGTTACCGCACCATAGGATGCGGGTGTTGTGGCAATAAGTTCGCCCTGCTGACTCAATGCTGACGTCTTGCTGCTGCCGTTGCTGCTGCTACTGCTGGTGGTGCTGCTACTGCTGGCGATGGCTTGCTCCTCCTCGTACTCATCGTCCGTTTGGAATTCCTCCCGCACCGCATGCAGTAAACGCTCCATGCTTAGCAGCGATGTCGACGCTGGCGTCGCAACGCAAGCAGAGCTTCTGCTGTCTCTGCTGTAGTTGTTTTTGTTGTTGTTGCTGCTGCTGCTGCTGCAACTATTGTTGTTGCTGTTGTTGTTGTTGTTATTGTCGCTGTCACAGTTCAAATAAGATATGAACATGGCCACGTCTAAACGTAATTCAACTGCTACGATTTCATTTCACTTCATTTCAGTTGACAACATTACACATTTGATTTTGTATTTGGTCTGCTCTGATTTTGATGGTGGCATTGCCTTAGTTTTTAGTTGAGAGCAGTTGGGAGTGTTGGCCCACATTGCCGCATACTTTTCGCTATCTGACCCGCTTCAACAGCGACGGCGACTGAGATTCCAACCTGGCCTGTGACTGTGACTCTGCCAATGACTGTGGCTCTGGCTATCATTATGGCGCCTAGAGATACATATGTATAAACCCATGAGCACAACGCACAACTGCAGCATGCTATATACAAGCCTTGTGTATGTGCACACACATGTCTACCATAGGTGCGCATACAGGTAAGTATGAAATGCATATCAACTTTGGCTTGCAACTTGCAGGTGAGCAGATGTGAAAGAATCACGAACTTAGTTGGTACCCAACATCAAATTAATTATTATTAGTTGTTAATTTATTCCCAAAATCGGTTACAATCAGCAACCATTTGTTCTGGCAGACTGTTGCACGTATACACATAGATATCTGTACATTTACATTTATGCACATTTGTTGTAAATTAATATAGATTCGAAATTAAATTAAATGAACACATTGCGTATACGCATTTTATTTATTTTTTCGTATTTCCATAATTAGCTTGCAAGCGTATTTCAAATTCGTTTGGCTTCTGCTTGGCTTTCCTATCATCCATAACTATTCAGATTCAGAATGCTGGGGCGTGTCTGTGCGTGTTTTCCGTTCTGCGGTGTCTGTTAGGTGTGTGTATTTGTGTGTGTGTGTGTTTGTGTGTGTGTGTGTGTGAGTGTGTGCGTGTGTGTGTGTGCGTGTGTGTGTGCGTGTTTTTAGTATCTCGTATACAGTTTGTACATTGTATGCATTGTAATTAAATTCTTATCAGTTTCAGATCAAAAACTGAATAAAAACAAGAAAGAATGCGCTATCGGAGTGAAATCGACTAGTCGATACCCTGTACCCAAGTCTTTCTCGATATCTTCGATATCTAAATATGAATTTACGTCGTAGTTATCGATAAAATGAAATAAACTTTATCGTCGTATGTTACATGAGATTAACTTCCACATTGTAGCTCTCGTAATCTCTGTATCCGGCATTTCATCAATTATATATATATATATATATGCATATGTATATTGTCCATATAAAATATAGTTTTGCGCAACTTTATATACCCATCCTTGCTTAATGGTTTCACGGTATAAAATGTATAATACAAAACAAGTGAAATTGCAGTAGTCAAGAGAGCTCGACTACGATATACCCTGAACCCTGCTAATAAATAAATAAATATGAGAAATCTTATGCTCTGTTATTGAAATTTGTAGAGTTGATCAATAATATGACTTTCTATCGATATTTGTGAAATATATTATAAAAATACATCACAGTAACTTACAGTCCAAACTTGAAGTCTCTTAGACGATCTAAGATCTTGTTCATATGAACGGACTGCAAGACTTATCAAGATTATATATACTTTATGGGGTCGATGATGCTTTTTTCTGACTGTTACATACTTTTGCACGAACCCATTATTGTCGGCTAACCATTTTTAATGGGTTCAGGGTATAAAAATAATAAAAAAAAAGTATCTCTGCTGCAAGGCGACTAAGTTGCGCCCTTCCCTATTTGTTGTTCTTACTTTTGCTTTAGTTACTGTTTATATTGGCCAGGCAAATTGCTAGTTGTTGCCTGGATTTGCATGTCAATTGTCAGCGTTTACGGTGCCAAAGCGCCTCTCGAGAACGTGTCGTGTCCATTCCATATCTGTGTGTGTGTGTGTGTGTGTGTGAGTGTGTGTGTGTGAGTGTCCATTTTGTGTCGCCTTGTTGGGTGTGGAGTTTGTCGCCTGTGGCTGTTGGGTCTGCAATTTGAGTTACTGTTTTTGACTCACGCATAGTTTTTTGTTTTTTGTTTTTTGTTTTTTTGTTTTTGTACTTTTTCATTGAAAGGTGGAAGCCCTGTTTTGTTGAGCGCTTTATCGTTGCGTGCAGGCGACTCTCGTGGCTTGTGCATGAGTGAGGAAATGCTTCTGCAAATGACGTTGATTTTGCCAGTGACCTGCCCGCCCTGCCCCACTGTCCAGCTGCCGCTTTATGCTTGACCAACCGTAGCGGCCTAGGTCTATATTGGCCATCGCAATTTGTTTAGAATTTCATATGTCGTTTTCGATGCAATTCGTTTGACGAATAAATATTTTTAGCACTAATGCGATATGTCAGTGTTGTAGACTATCTGTATATGCCTGCTAAGCAGTCTGTTATATGTAACGTACGTTTGACTTTACTTATTTCATAATATCTATTCCCCACGAGTAGGAAATTTATAAATTATACCAATAAGATGTACGAGTATATTGGTTAGAGACCAATGCAGAATATCACTTATCACTTCTAGCAATTTCAATCAATAAAGTCTGAACTGAGAGAATTATGTAGACAGGTTGACTACGGTCTATAGTATATATATATATATTCTTGATCAGCATAAACAGCCAAGATGATCCAGCTAAGCCCGTATGTCGGGCTGTCCGCCGGTTTTGTCAGCAATGAGCAAAAACGCACACAAATAACGAATTATAGACAGCCATTGGCCCAAAATGGACAGGTCACAAAACTTCAAACGCAATTTCAATTCAAATGCGATTAAATTTGATTTTGATGCCCGCCTTTGAAGCTAGGCAGAACGGACAAAACCGAATGGAAATGGGGAATGAGTATCCGATTCTGAATGGCAATCGCCTATGTAAATGGGCAATGGACAACGGGCAATGGACAACGGACAATTGGCATTGGGAATGGGAATGGGAATGGTCAATAGTGGTGGGGATGAGTATTGGGATGGGTATCGTGCTGGGGACAGGTGATTAGGTGATTAGGTGGTGAGCAGCGATGAGCCGCTAATGTTTAGCAGAGCGAATCGCTTTCAATGTCGCCATTCTGTCATTTTGGGCCGCTCAACCGAATGTGCCCATAGACAAAATCAATAAAAAAAACCTTGAAAATATTTTCGTACGTTTCTCAATAATGACAGTTTGCTATTCCGAATTTGCTTTCATATTTCACTGGCCAAGATTTGCTCGGCGACATCATTCAAATTTTGTTAAGAATCATTTGCGCTGACCTCATTCAACCAATTAATAAAAACCTCAACTATTTGGATTTGAACTTTCTTGCACTTAATTAAACCAATTTTTGTGTATAAAGCAGAAATTAGTTAATAAAGTTCACATATTCAGAGCTAAGTACTCAAATGAAGCTAAAGCTATTGGATATTTCCATTAGTTATTGGCACTATATTTTCTCAGACATTTAATTTACAATTCCTTTAAGCTTATACATATATATAGAATAAGATATGGGGCTGAAATTTGTTCTCGGTGTAAGCGAAGCTTGCAACGCATTAATGGCGACGTCTCTGATCCCATAGAGCATATATATTCTTGATCAGCCGCGGCATGTCCATCCGTTAAAAATTGGCTAAAACTATAAGGCAAATATCCCATATATATTTTAATGTCATATACATATATGTATATTTATATAAATATAAATATGTATCGTTCCATCGTTTTGCTCGTCTTAGCCCATGAAAAATACATTTGAGCTGCGCAAAATGAAAAATTATCAGAACGTCGCGTCGCCTCGTTTGTGATTGCGATTAATGGTGTCTCGGGATTCAATTGGTTGCCGGCTTTGGTTGAGGGAGAGGGTGTGAGAGGGGGGACGGGGCAACCTTTG